AAAGGGGAATAAGTTCAATTAAAGCAGAGTGAAAATTTCACACACATACACATAACCATAATAGAGCCCTGCCCTAACTCAGGGCTCGACATTAACGCTTGTCCGCTTGTCCGGTACCAGTGAAAAAAAAATACGGACAAGTGAATATTGCTTGGCACTTGTCCGATTGGACAAGTGCATTTTAATGTAAAGAAGTCTTCAAATAATAAAAAGAACGACTGTTGAAAGTTCATCGGTAAAGACGGAAGCAGTACATAAAAAACGAACTTTGATCCCGATATGAATTGCTATGTAATTGAGTTCACACTCGATCGGGATCGAAGTTCACTAATTGCATACTACTGCAAAGGCATGGAAGTTACGCCGAGTTACGAAGTTTAGATTCTGTTTGATGTTGACAGTTTCATTTGTGAACATTTATGTTGTTGTCAGGATAGAAAGTCTAGATAAAATTTTGCTTTTTTATGTTTTTTGTATTTATAGATAACATCACTAATCAATCACATGTAATGGACTTTATTTTAGTTTTCAAGTTGACAGTATTGTATCTTTATTGAACAATGTTCGGACAAGTGAAGTTGAAGTTCGGACAAGTAAATGTCCTGGTCACTTGTCTGAATGGACAAGTAGGGAAAAAAGTTAATGTCGAGCCCTGTAACTCCAGAACCCAACCCAGAGGCCATGAATTTCAAAATTTTGAAAGAGGCACCCTTAATCATTATAACAACTTTGTTTGGTAAATTCCTAGCAGTAGATAGAATGAATGCATTTTCACTAAATGATCAATAGTGCCCCACCCTTATTCTAGAATCCTAACCCAGGGGCCATGAATTTCACAATTTTGGAAGAAGCAATCTTGCTCATCATTACCATGCACTTAGTTTGTCTGCTATATACCCATGAGCAGAGAAGATTTTCAAAGAGATAATGCATTTTCACTATATGATCATTAGAGCCCCACCTAACACCCATAGGACCAAAAATTTCAAAATTTGGGTATAGGGCTTAATGCTTATAATAAAACTAAGTTTAAATGCCTGATGTCTAGGAGGAAAGAAGAAAAAGATTTTTGTAGATTGCATTAATTTTGATGATTTTGGCCTAAGGGAGGCAGAGACCATGAAATTTATTTTTTGTTTCCCTTTTCTAAAAGATGCTATATACCAAACTTGGTTGAAATTGGTGCAGCGGTTTCAAAGAACAAACTGAAAATTTTCAAATGTTAACACATAATGATGAACAAAAACTGATAGCAGTACGTGACCTGAATTACTCAGGTGACCTAAAAAATTGGTAAAACCCTAAAAATTTCAACAACCATCAAACTTTGACTTGATTACTAATTCTGCTTGGCACTGATTTTTTTTTATCTGCACAAGGATTGAGAGCAGAGGATTGTTAATCTGATGAAATTTCCACTTAATTACTATTTCCTCAGTTCATACACATTAAGGCACACTTTTTTACAAAGCATTTTATCTTACATCATTTAATCTAGACTATCTTTAATCTGGACAATGACTTCAATAATGAGTCCTTAACTGATGGAGACATAAGTAAAATTGACAGTTCTTCTCTTGTTTTTAAATTCAGATCAAGTAAAACATATTAAGAGTGTGTTATGATCAATTACATGCAATCTTTTCTGCTTACGTTTGATACTACCATTATTTTCTGTGCCTTGGCTGTACCGTCGCCTGCCTTGATTGGTGCCACTACTGGTCGCCGACTGACTACGGGTCACTTTGTTAGGAGACTGACTATTGGCTGTGTTTTCACTATGTGGCCTATTTGAGGACATCTGCCCTAAATGTCTTAATGACTGACTACTGCCAGAGCGGTCACTGCCCTCCAACTGTGAAGAAAATAAATAATCAGCTATACAAGGTCAAGGACATTTATCAGCTGAGGATAATTTCTGTAATATCATGGAATTTTTACTTAATTTCTGTACCACAACTCCAAGTGTACATCAATGATGGAGTTTAGTGGTCTGACTTACATCTGATGTCCTCCTCCCTAACAACAGATACGTGGCCTGGACGTCATCATACTTCTGGTGTGTGATGGAGTCCTCTACAGCTTGCCTTGTGTAGCCCATGTTTAGCATCAATTCTAAGTTCAACAGAAAAAAGGGATTTATATGAAAACCTTATTGGAAACAAGATATTTCTACATGAAGTTTTACACAATACAGGTACCTCTAACATACTGAGCATTTCTTGTCCCATCTAACTTAATTAAAGGGTTAGAAAGTTTATTTTTCACAGCAATTTGTAAGTTGATTAGTAAACTAACAGTATCTAAGTATATCTGAATGTCTTACACCTTCCTCATTTTCCAGGTCAAAACATGAAAGAGGATAAAATGCATGAATATTTAACTCAAATTAAAATGAACACACAAAGATTAAAACTTGACAAAATGGCACTTTTATTTTGGTGCAGAAAACCAAAATTTCTTGTTGGTGGTACATGCAGGACACATCATTCAACAACAATTAACAAGCAGTTTACACAGAATACCCAAATTCCCAAACCTCTGACAAACATTAAGAATATCTTAAAACAGGATACTAGATGATACTAGATATTTTGATGGTCACTGATTAATACTAGAACTGACCTAATGGGATTAATAATCCCTGCCAGGCAAGCAAAGAAATGTCATAAAACTTGTGAAATAGCTTGAAAGAACTCTGCCTTCTTGCGGGGAGAAAAAAATTCCAAGATTTCTTGTCCTTTACATCTTGAATAAATATGGCTGGTTAATGGCTGTAAATCTTAAGATAATAGCAACCTTTGTATTTAGTATGAAAATTTCACTTTCCACAAAAGCCAGAAACATTTACCTTTGAGTCACTGAATCAATGAAAGCCTAGAATCATGACAGAGTTCAAGGTCATAAACAACCTTTGTATCAGGTATAACCTCCTGATGCTCCTCTAATACGGAGTTTTGTCTATATCTAAATTCTTTAGAATTTGACACTTCTGAATCATGTGACCTTGACCTTGTCTAAATGCCTTTGCTCAGTCAAGTTATTTTCTAGGCATAATCAACATTCAATCCAATAAGATCTAAATATTTCATTATAGAATTATTTATATGGAAAATTCTGTATTTCAAATCCCTTGACCTTGACCTTATCCAAATAACAATCCTGATAGGTTGTTACAAACCCTCTGGTTCAAAAATGTAGGAAAACCGCTGTATTAAATATGGTATAAAAGATACTGCTGCACTTCTTTTTTTTTCTCCATAGTTTTTTAATTGCTTACTGATCATAATTAAATGTAGCTGATTCATTCATAAGATACCTTTTTCTACGATGTTTTAGTTAGTTTAATAGTTTCAATACTAATGAGAAAACAGAACACTTTACTGAAATCTCCATAAATCCCTTTGATAGACTTGGTTATACAAGGGTGAATAACACTTCAGTTAAAAAGAGTGGAAATTTAGTACTATCATAGAAGTTCAAAGAAAACGTCATAGCAAAGAAATGAAACATCCATGTGTCATCTCTCAGACTTGGCCATTGAAAAGAATTTTACGGTGGGCACACATGCATGTTCTGGTCTTTGCCATGTCTGCAGCCGACAAATCTATGTACCTATTCGTTTATTTTCAAGGAGGTCTTTTGGTGGCTCCTTGTAGGGCTTTAAATCCCGTTCTTCATAACCCATATTGATCCATCTGTCTTTCATAATATTCTGACACAAAATAAGAAATGCCATGAAATAAAAAAAAACAACACATAATGTTGACATCAAGCAAGCATGAACTAGGCTCATCTAATCACCAATGATAAGTCTAGGTAGGAGCACATCTGTTTGAATTCTTTTTTTATTTTCATGTGAAATTCTAATTGGTTAACCAAGGCAAATCATGAGTCATTTGATGAACTGTTCAAACTTGCTTCTAAGCGGAGTGCTTGCTGACCAAGATTTCTTAGAGACTGATAGCAACTTTAACGCTGCATGATTTACAACCCCTCTTGCTGGTTCTCCAGAAATCTTGGTAACAATGAGCCCCTTGTCACTACAGGACAATACAAGTGTGTGTCAGGGATTTTTTTACCTATCCGCAAGGGGTCAAGGACATCTGCAGGGGGCTCTACAAAAGGTTTAAGTTCATCATCCTCGCAACCTATATTCATCCACTTGTCCTTCATAATATTCTGTGATAGCATAAAGTTCAAAGAAATGATATTAAAATAGGTCATGTCATCTGAATTTAAAAAATGGCTATCTACAGTCTCAAATTGTGAAGATAAATATAGCCATGTCACTTCATGAAAGTCCAATTATTCATGATCTCATTTATCCTACTCATGTATATGTATATAATTCACCTTAAACTCTTATTCCAATATTTGAAAATTTTGTTTTCCTTATCTTCACACCTCATTTGCATAATTCAATATCAAGCCTGAGAGGTTTGACCTTGTCAGTACATCAAGATAACACTTCAGGTCGGGTGCTTTTTAACACATCTGAATGACAGTGTACATAAAAGAAGCATATATTGTGAAAAATAAAGAATTGTTACTCTGAATAGAAGCCCTTACCTCTAGACAAACTCTCTTAGTAGGATTTAATACTAAAAACTTTTTTAACAGATTTTCACAGTCTGTTGACATGTAAAATGGGATTCGGTATTTTCCACGTAACACCCTTTCTCTCAATTCCTAAAAAAGAAAAAGAGAAAGAAACTAAGTAAAACAGGAAAAAAAGAGACTTTGAGAAATGACGAAAAACTCGGATGTAACCACAGTCAGAAATTGTGGAGTAGTCAAATAAAATGTGAAAATCTTAATTTGGTTCTAAGAAAAGATATTCTGATGAAATAGAATTTGCCCCCAAAAGGCAAATTTCTGTTTAAAACAGAACTCTGGCCTTAAGTACAATCTGATAGAAGCCATTGCCATGGCCAAAATAGTTTTTTCTTTAATATCAAGAAATGCCCCCCCCCCCCCCAAAAAAAAACAACAGACTTCAGCAATACTCCTCTTTCACTGATGCTTGGGGACGGTATTGAGGAATATACATGTACATATGTTATATGGCTAGATAAATCCCTGTGAAAACAAGGTGGTAAACTTGCTAAATTTTTCCCTTCATTATTAAGTAAAAAACCTCCAGTGTATGTAGATTACAATATACATGTATATCACTTACAAAATTGGAGCATTATTATCCATTACTTTTATCACTTGCCTTTAAATTCTGTCCATCAAATGGAAGAGAACCACTGACTAGTGTGTACAGTATAACTCCTAAACTCCAAACATCCACCTCGGGCCCATCATACTTCTTCCCTATATGAAATTACAACAAAAAGTTTTCAATTAAAAGAAGCAACCTTCTAAATGGTAATCCTTCCCCAAATGTCATCTTTCTAAACAATTAGAAAACTGCACAACATATACAAGATTACATGTATTATTAACTTGCGTATCATGGTATATAGAACAAGATTACATGTATTATTAACTTGTGTATCCTGGTATATATAGAATAAAGTTTTTTATTAAGCTCATCTGAGCAAAAGGTCCATGTGAGCTTTTCTGATCACAGTTTGTCTGTTGAAGATTCAAATTTGTTCAAATTATGGTGACTGGGGCTAGGGTGGGGTCACAATAGGGGAATAAAAGTTTTACACTGTATTCAAGAGAAAAAATAAAATATTTAAGTTCTTCTTTTAAAGAACACCAGGCCCACAATTAGTCATTTTGATATGTCAGCATACCCACATCATGTGAATTCAAGTTTATTCATATGGTGCCTGGGGCATGATGGGGTCACATAAGGGGGTCAGCATTTAACATGGGGTTATCCAGAAAAAAAAAATCTTTATATATATATATGTATATATATATATATATATATATATATATATATATATATATATATATATATATATATATATATATATATATATATATATATATATGGGAGAGGACTATCTATGGGAGAGGACTATCTAAGTTTTTAGAACTTGTGTCCAATCCCTTTGACACATTGTCAATAAAATATGTTCAAAAAAAAAAAAGAAAAAAAAATATATCTTCCTCTCCGGACCCCTTCCTCTCAATTAGCTTCAGAACTGTAGCTCTCTGGTGGAGAAAATTCAGACAGATAAACCAGAGAGCTACAGACCCAATTATTGTAACTTCGATTTACGCCGCCACTTTTTTGTCGCTTGCTTCGGGTATTATTTCTTTAATTTATGCATTCCAACGCTACAAACGTGGTATCCGATAATAAAATTATATATTTTACTCCCATATCTTTCAACGATTCCAAACAGCCGTACGTAGTCTTGGAGTATCAGTTTAAAAAAATGCATTCCGAGCTCCATGTTGGTGTAATGCAAAAAATAACATGCCCGATCGTTTTTTTTATCTCTCTCTCTCTTTTTTTTTTATATATATTGTTTTCTTTATAGACAATTGAATATATATACATGATATTTGAACTTCCAGACTTTTTTATTCACATTTTCTCGGCAGATGGATGTTCTTTTAAAAACTTTTTTTTGAAAGACTCCCAACATGGGTGTCGGGATGGGAAATTTTTAAAATGATATTCCAAGACCACATAGGGCCATTTGGAACCATTGAAAAATAAATAAAGTATAAAGAATGGGAGTAAAATATATGGTTAATTATTGGATATAAATTGTAAATTGAGGGAACACATAAAATACAAGAAATAGTACTCGAAGCGAGCTACAAAAAACCGACAGTGTAAATCGAAGGTTTTTACAATGCTTGGATCTGTAGCTCTCTGGTTTATCTGTCCGAATTATCTCAACCAGAAAGCTACAGTTCTGCAGCTACCTCTTAAGGAAAGGGCCATAGTGAGTCTTATTGGTATTCAAAATTCCCATGTATGACAGATTCAAATCTGTTCAAATCACGGCCCTTTGGATTGGGGCTACAACAGCTGATAAAATTTTTAATGGGAAAATACTGCAAAAATCTTTAAAAATCTCAAGAGCAGTGGGTCACAATTAATCACACAGTAACTGAATTGCATCCAAGTTATCTCTTAAGTATGAGTAAGCCCACTTAAGGGAGTCAAGGTTAAACAACCGGATACATAAAAAAAAATCCCACAACAGCGCTCTATAGAATCATATATGTTGATATAACCTGGATATAAGAAGACACCCCATGTCATGTATATTTTGTTTGGTCAAGTCATTGCCCCTGGGCAAAGGTGGGGTCACCACAGGGGATCAATGATCTTAATTAGAAAATGACAATCTTCTCAGAAAAGCAGAGCCAAGGTGATTCAGGCAAGTGCTGTGGCCAATGAGCCTCCCCCCCCCTTTTTTTTTTTTAAATAACTGGTCATTAAAAGAAATTTGCTGATAAAAATTCTTCCTACCCTGAAACAATTCTGGAGCAGCATATGGAGGGCTCCCACAGAATGTGTCCAACTTATTTCCTGGAACAAACTCATTGCTAAAACCAAAGTCAGCAATCTTTATGTTCATATCACCATCTAACAGTAAGTTTTCAGCCTGAAATGAATCAGAAAAAAAAAATTGTTATATTCTCCCAGTCTCATGCTTTCCAATATTGAACTTTCAAAAATTTGACATAATTACTACTTTTATAAATACAAGGCAATTCAGGCAGTTCAAAACAATAGCACTACAAACATGAGTATCTGTGATTAGTGAGCACCTTTTACAAACACTTAACCTACAGTATAAATTTCTGAACTCTTGCCTTTGAATTTTTACTTCACTATTGCCCCTTAATCCAAGTAGCACTTTTATATAAGGAGAGTTAAACTGATTTGTTAGGTAATCTTGATCTTAATCCTTTTTCTTTAATTAAATCAGTATGTAACTTTCTCCCTTCCATTTCTTTAGTGTCTACCAAAACTCTGTTGTCCAACAGTAGAGTCAGTGATTCCTGGGAATTTCCAATATAACATTTGAATTTTGTAGGAGAAAAATTTTCAAAAATAGCAAATATTATAAATCCGGGGGGATTTTTGTATTATAGAAAACCTTCCTCAGGGTATTTCTGCAAGTAAGAACATTTGCTACACTGGCCATCTGATTACATGCAAATCATTGTGTTCCTCATTTGTGCAGTATGTATGCTTTTGAGGCACACAGTGCATGCATATATGCACTTTAATAAATCCTTTAACAACTTTGTTGTGAGGTTATAATAGCCAAATTCCCCAAGAAATGTGATATTCAGGTGCATAGTCTAGAATGTTTAACCGTTTGAGACAGTTGGCCTTTTATCCTACCCGCCTAATGCATACTTGTGTACTTGTCTCATGTAACAGGCTAGTTTAGCGAAACAGGGTACTACATTATGGTTGACTTCATCTGATCATTATGTACCAAATGTATCACATATTTATCCCTAGCCCTTGGGTTAATCTGGTGTAACGCTTTACCTGTGACAAAACATTTCCAATGCTAACAGGTAGCATACATGTTCATACAATTTACCTACTTGAAAAAGAGGTATTTACTTATCACAGAATATTTAAAACTCCTTTTACCTTAAGATCTCTGTGGACTATATGCTTTTGATGGCAGTACTGCACAGATGATACAATCTACAACAATAACAAAAAGAAAGTCATTACTTGCTGGACACAGTCTTTAAATCAATATTCCTGCTTCAAAGACACAGCCTTGAATCCAAAGATAAAGATCTGCAACCTCAGCAAAATCAATCAATACATCTCTCTGTATTTTTTTTCCTAGATATCTGGAGTGCACCTTTCTGCAAAATCTATCTAAACATGTATATTTATATCTCTCTTGATAAATTTATTGTCTTCCTGCATTAGAGATAAAACTCGAAGTAAATTTATAATCATGATAACTTATGACCTTCATGACATCTAAGCATAAAATTTCTAAACCTCAAGTTTTTCCCAAACTTAAAGTAAAACTGACAGAACCAGTCTTTGTGGTTGCTTAATCATGTTAATAGTAAACTAACAATGCTTATCTGCACAACAATAAAATACTTAGGCATGGCTTTAAAAGAGAGCAATGTACAATGTCCTTTCTGTGAGTCATATGAACATCCTTGTGTCATCACAGCATCTGTTTATTTATAAACCAATACCGAGGAAATAAATACTTATCGATAAGACTTTTAATATCACTTGAAATGGATATACAACCTTCTTTAGATTTTAATCCCTCCAAATTGAAATCGTAATTCAATTTTTCCTTATTTCTGGAGGTTTATAAAGTCATAAAGACATTGACTGATCAAACGATATATTTGTAACATATATTTCATGCTGAAGAGGAAAACAAAATTTAAGTGTGAACAGGGCTGTATTGAACTCTGTGCTGTATTGAAAACTGTGCCACCAAATTCATAGAATAGGAGTTCCATCACTTTTTTATCAAGTTTAAGAAACCTGACATCTCTGTTAAGAGTGTAACTCTATTACTATGGACAGTCAACTGGGTTTCTGACATTTGGTTACTGAATCCCTTCATTTTGACTTACTATACGTATAAAAAACAAACGGCAAAATAAAACAAAAAGCAAGTTTTTTGTTTTGTTTTTTTTTTGAAGCAAGAACTCCAAATATTATGACCTTTCATAAAAGCAGAACTTGCTTCAAAGAAAAACAGAAGCATTACAAAGAATTCAATTAGCATAATCATGCAACAACACAGACTGTCAGCTATGTTGGTTCATTGACACTGCAGAGCAATGACAGTTCAGCCTACACTATCTATATTGAACAAAACAGAAAAATTAAAGAAAACATAAAAAAAAACCCTGAAAAACAAATAATTCTTTTGTTAAAACAGCACATTTCATTTGCTATGGGTGTTCCTTTGCATATACCTTCAGAAGGAAAGACAGACAGTTTAAACTGATTGGTATCAATTTATATAAACCTTGAACCAAAACTTCATAGACTCAACTGTCTAATTGGGTCAAAATCAGGCTCAAGTGTTGATGCATCTGGGCTGAACTAAGTAGGCTGAAGTGAATGAAATCTTAAGTGCCACATTCCACATTTCAACTTTTTTAAAATCATTAGTTGATGCATAAAAAAAAAGATATGCTAGTTCACAATCACTTGATATTTACTTGGGCTTTATCAGAATTCACTTACATCTCAGGCCAGTTTCAGGAAGTAATCATTTTTTATGTTTTTTTGGATATCATAATCAAACAGTTCATCAGTGACATTGCTAAAGCCCAATAAAAAAAAATGATCACTTACTATTACATGCTTACACAAAATAGGGTCTGTAAGGCCATATAAATTTAAAATTTAGATTCTCATCCTAATTTGCTAACAAAATGGGGCGGGTGGGCGGGTTTTATTTTTTATTTTTTATAAATGAATGTATCAACAAAACATTCGTACACATAATTTTTACATTATGTTAATGCCAATATGAATAAATTTTATTTTCATATTCTTTTAAATATCTACAGAAGATTCTTGTTATAGAATATTAAAATATTTATAGTTTTATTAACAAATAATCAAGTACACAGATACGGCACACGCCAAACAAAATGGGGTGCTGATCCTAATAAATTGCATATGCATGTTTGCTCAGCGACCTTTCCCCAAATACCTTATAGTTTTACCAACAACTCCTTCTATTCTGTGTGATATACAGATATCACAGACTTCTACTGTCCTCATACATTCAATCGTTCTTGAGACTTGACATGTTCGACATTAAAATATATCATATTTACAAAAACAGGATTGTGTAAATCTGTAAAATATTCTACTGAAAAGCCTAGGCCTTAACAGTTTTAAGATTTAACATTTCCTTAGCACTATTATTCTCTAAAGTCTTTGGACGATGTTTTATTATTTTTTTTAATGCAAAATCACATACAACTGGAGATCGTTATTTAAAACTTGACCATGTGTATTTTCTTCGTCTGTTTTTACTTGGTTAAAATCTCTTTAAAAACTTGCCCATGCCAGTGATGGTATCTAGATGTGTTTATATGTTATTTTTGCTTTTCTGCCTTCTCTTTACTGACAAATTATCTTTTCCTTACGTATTTAAACTGCTTTTATTGCCGATATTTCTCCATTCTTCACATAGTTTTTTTTTGCTATAAATAGCGCCACGCGACTTTTAATACAGACGGGAGATAACTCTTAAATTTTGACCCAGATTCTTGCTGCATAAAAATACATGAAAATAATACGCTTGGCATCCAAAAAACAAAATAAAAAACAATGGGGCGGGGCACTTTGAGAGGGGCGGGCGGGGATGAGAATCTAAAGATTAATTTTATCTGGCCTAAGTAGGATTTTATTTTTCATGTTTTAATTTTTTTTTTTTTTTACATATTAAAAAACAGTTTGAAGCTCTCTTCTTCTAGCCATAAAATATATTTTGTACAATCTACCTGATAGCTCCAAAAAAGGCTATTAAAAATGACCTTATGACCTATCAACCATAAACTATAAAGGAAAATACACAGACATGCAATTTCTGAATTTTACAATGAAAAAAAAATTGGGTTGATGCATAACATTTTTAGGGTTGGTCAGGTACATGTAAAGAAACTTTTTTGTTTTCTTAGGCCTTGCATCAAGAAAAAAATCTCTATCAAATGGAGGAAACTTTCTTTTAATTTCATCCTCAGACATTTTATTAAAATACTGAATATCATATCACACAGTTACAAATAACTAGTAATTCTTTACCAATCAGTACATATTATGCTGGCTATCATTTTCGTAAAAAGCAAATATATGTACATTTTGAGTGATTTCTTTTAATTCGATTCTTGATATAGGATAAATATAGATTTGTTATTAATGTATTAACAGAATCTTATGAATACAAGTTTCTATGTCAACTTTGGGATTTTTGAAAATTTTTCCTTGTACATATTTCTTGGTAAATCATTAAAATGCTCTTACCCAATTCTTCCCTAAACTATTGTTATCCCATTATACACTAGCTGCAGAACTGTAGCGTTATGATTTTATATTTAGGTCTTTGACCATAATGCTACAGATTCCATAATGCAAATATGGTGCAATTTACGGTGCAAGATTTTCTGCACATGGTTGGTGAGAATTTCTCCACTTTCCAGCATTGGTCAATCAACTACCTTTCACTCCCTAATTCTAGCCATATTCTTTAACCAATCTGTATATCTACCTCCTAACCCTTTATAGTCATCTCTACAGACCAATAAACTCATTTTTTTTCCTCAATTTTTTGCCATCCGACAAAAAATTCAAAACAACTGTGCGCAGAAAGTCTTGTGCCGTAAATTGCACAAATACTTGCATTAAGAGACCTGTAGCGTTATGGTCAAAGACTTTAATATAAAATCATAACACCACAGTTCTGCAGCTAATTATACACCAGACAGTTTGATTTTTTCCAATTGAATCCTTTATAAAATTTTGGACCCCCTTTTGTCACCCACTTTTTCCCACAGACCCATTACCTAATCTAAAAGTTTCTTCATATGTGGCAATGTGTGCAATTTGTTTGTTTGTTTTGCTTTTTTTTTGTTTTTGGTGTTTTTTTTTTTGTATTTTGAATGAATTTCTCCAGATACGTAGCATGCATATTTTTAGTATTTTGGTCTGACCATAGAGGACTATGATTTGAACTATGGTAAACCTACATGGAAATATGCATGTCAAATACAAGACTGAGGATCTGTTGTTTATCCCTGAATTTTCAGTATTTTTTCCCTCCCTATTTTCACTCAAAATACTTCTAACTTTTCTTTTGTTTTCTTCAGGGTGTTGAAGGCAAATTCAAAAACAAACCTACACAATAAACATGTATTCAAGATTGTACAAGTTTAGGAATTTTTTTATCCAATGGACCCAAGGGAACACTTTTGAATAACCCTAATCTTTATGCATACTACTTTCACGCAAAATACTGAAAACCAACTGGTCCAAAAAAAAAAAAAAAAAATTATTCCCTATTTTGATAAAACAGCAACAGGTAATGCAACTTCATAATATAGTCACATTCACAGGGCTCTAATTGGCGATTAATTTAGTCACCATGGCACCTAAAAATTATGATTGGCCCGTAAAATATTTCTATCAAGTCGCCAAATTTTAGCGACCATTTTAAATTCACTTGTTGAGCATCAAATTGCTGAACTAAAAAAAAGATTTTGAATTTTTTTCTTTATTAAGAGCAGAAAAGAAGTTTAAAAACTTACCTGGCGACTTAAAATTTGCATTGGTGACTAATTTTTTTTTTATTAGGAGCAAGTTGGCCACTAAATTTTAGAGGTCACATAGAGGCCTGATTCAGGAAATTATGTTTCTTTGGTTCACTGTTGTTTTTAGTATGGCATAATTTGCAACATTAGGTGTTTCCTCCTTTTCACGACATTTTATATTTAATACTTGTGGGTGCATATTGCAATTTATACATGCATGTACATTTTTCCATATTTCAATTCCAAAACACTTCCAAAGTCTTTTCAACAATTTTTCAAATTCTTTACCGTACATATTCGATAAGCATATTCAGGGCATATTCAATAAGCATATTCACTGAACATTAAAAAAATAAGTACAAACATATTTAATATTCATATTCAATGAAGATTATAACATAAACTAACCTGACGAAATTTGGCTCTGGCTTCCTTTTCCTTCATTCTACCATGGGCAACAAGATAGTCAAATACTTCTCCTGCAACAGTAGAGAAAATGTAAAACTAAAAAGTGAATATGGATTTAGAATTGCTAGGTCTTTAACATGTAATCTAAAATGTTATCTTGCTGTAAGTAACTCTGCTCAAAGCCCCCCTTTTTCCCCCAAAAGCAACCCAAAATTCTACATACACCCATAAAAACCTCGTTATCTAAACAAAAAAAAAATTAGACCTATTTTATTGTTCCGTCGTAACTTTAATGATATAAAGTAAATGAAGAAGTATTGATACAGTGACAAAGAAGCAATTTACAATATGTATTACATGGTACCAAACTGCTCAACCTAATGATACTTTGCCTATGGCCACAAAATTCAGTGGGCCAGATTTTCAAAATTATTTGATCTGATCAACTGTGGCCTAAGTATCATAATTATGGCTGAGGTGCTGATTGACAGAACCATGTGACATTCATTTCTGCCAGCATTTCAAAACAGACTTCATATGAAAATTGTTCCACGGCATTCACTGGGATATTGATTCAATTTAAAAATCACTAAAGTAAATTTTCTGTTTAACAACTGACCTCCACTTGCATACTCCATGACTAAGTACAATGTTTTCTCTGTTTCAATCACTTCAAACAGTTTCACTGGAAAACAAAATTCAGACACATCATTTTTTTTTCTTCTTCTAGAAAGGTTTTAAAGAAATTCATTTATGATTTATCTCATTTAAAAAAAAACAAAACAACATACATTGCATTTGTTTATAAGACAAGTTTTAGTGGATACAAATATCATTACAGTTTAAGACATACCAATGTTGGGATGATCCAAGTTCTTCATTATTCTTACTTCCCTAAAAAGCTGTTAAAAAGGGAAAAAAAAAATGTGTGTGCTTAGATATACAGCTACGTTTTTTTTTTTTTAATCTTGATTATCTATTCATTATGACTTTTCTTTTAATAAATGTATCCTTTTTTATACTAAAAGGTCATCTAAGAATTGATTATTCATTAATATTCAATGCATGACTTACCTTGTTTAAGCTTGATGGGTTCAGCTGTGTCTTGTCAATAATTTTGATTGCAACCTAAGTGGCATAAAATATGAGTCAATATGATAACTAAGAAATCAATGTGTACTGTGTCCACATATGCAGAAAAAAGGAAACTGATGTAATTTCATTATCCGCATCATACAACATGCATGATTTTATTACACAGCTAAATACATTTATATTTTTCAACCTTATCTGTTTGTTTACATTTGTCTTGACTGAGAGTGCCATGACTCAGTATTTCCTTCCACGTTAAAAAAATAAACAGTATGCAGATAATTTTATCACTCCTATATTTTGACAATCAGCTGATCAATTGACAGCTGCAGTAATCGCCACCAAGGCAACATCAATGGTATATTGTTAAACTCACCTCCCTGCCAGTTGGGACATGTTTGGCCAACTTGACTTTGGCAAAATTTCCTTTGCCTATCGTTTTGATAAGTCTGTATTTTCCTATGTGTGGTTCATCCGTTCTTCGCCCGGAGGATGAGATTCTCGGGTTGGCATTGTCATCGGTTTGCTGTGTGTATGTGCAAAGAACAAAATAAGTAGGTCACCCAGGAAGTGCACAACGGCCACAAAAATTAAACTCGTCATGCAAAGAAAAAAATATGAAACAGTTTCAGAATTAACTTACCCGGCGATTGCTGCTTCTTGATTCCGTTGTAACCGATTCATGAACCGTTTGCAATGGGGTTCGAGTCGACATGTTGAATAAATTATAGTTTGACGTCCAGGTGAGACTACGTTGAAACGATTCTTTACAGAATATAATGCTTCATTCGCAGTTTTTCTACCCTAAGCGTCTATATACACAATTTATCTACTTATCTCTAACAGAATCGGCTTCCGTGGACGCTTTCTGGTTCGTTTTTCACAGAAAATCGGGGTCATTTACAGCACCAAGTTGACTATGAAGTAGTGCCCTTGGGTCCATCAAAAAGTGAAGTTCACAAGGCAAACGGGATTTAATCTCCATTTAAAACATATCATTATAAAATAAAGTTATCACTTTCAGCCTGGGCTTTGGTTTTTATGAGTTCAGACCACTAGGTTACACATAGAAACAAAATTTATTCCCTATGTCAAGTAACAAAAATGGCTGACTCGTTCCACGCCAAATTCTCCCAAAATGTAAACGCCGTGCGCAACTTCGGTTCATTGCGAGTTTTGATTGGTTGATCTATACCGTTATGACATCACTGAGAAATATGCAAAAGCAAGTGCATTTATTTATTAACAATGTAAAAAAAATATGTCAAACTAGCTCTTTTCCTTAATTTAATGAAATAAATAATAAAATATATATATAAAAAAACATAAAGTTGATTAGAGTAACAATATTGTGTTTTATAATGAAATATGCATTGAACTTTTTAACAGCTTTGCACATCGATTGTCATCATACAAAATTAATTTGTTGAGATTCAACAAACTATATATTATTAGATAATTTGCGACAGCTATTGCCTTATTATTTTTATTTCTGATTATCATTGTTGTTAGTTAAATTCTTGAAAACTATAATACCTTTATAATATTTTATTTTATGTGTTAACTTACCTATGGGCAGAATTTATTCGGACTAATAATTGAACTTGATTTTTTTTCTCTCCAAATAAAAGATAGCCATATATATTTGATTTTTTTAATCAATTGTATGAAAATGATATGTTAACGTCTTTGTTGAAACATTCTCTTGGTCGTAAAAACTGCCAACAAGTCCATGGGTCTTAATTAATTTGATCACTGACTTGATATAAACATTTTTTTTCCAACTTTTATTCAACTAGCAATAGAAACGGAGGAAACTGACAAATGCATAAATACATGTGTATGAAAAAATCAAACTTCGTAAAAAAAAGTTTATTAAAAATCAAAATGTATACACGTATTGTTCTCTAAGAAGGAACAACAAAAACATTTGTGCTTAAATATCCGAGTTATTCATTTTTTATTTATTTATTTTTAGTATTTTGTTTGTAAGCAAGGGATGGGGGTGGAATTGTCAAGTGCCATTTATTAAACATATCAAATTGTCCAATGAGCTGTTTATTATCCCAATCTCCAGTCGTCAAAGCGACTCGATCAGTATCATATAGGTGAATTCAAATAGATGATAAAGAAGCACTGCCCCCCCCCCCTTTCAACACACACACGTACATGTACAGGGAAATCCCCTATTTTTTGTTGACTAAGTATGTATCTATCACCTTTCACCTTCATCTTTCTCTAAGGAGTAATTAAATGTTGAAGTAACATTATAATCAAGCAAGGCAATGGTATACACATTACAGCATTTTCTTGTTCTTTAAAACCCCCCTCCCCAACAATGTGAATCTGTATCCATCCGGGTAAACTCGGAGGCTGCACCTTAGTTGTCAAGAAAGTAGATATAGGGAGTCTGATTTAAGGTGTCTTTGGAATAAGTCTAGGGATACACACAACGATATTTTTATGCACAATCTTACGGATAAGATTACCCCCCCCCCCACACACACACACACAAACACACACATACAGTATGTAGTAATTTAGAGAGAGAGAGAGAGAGAGAGAAGGGGGGGTGATCTCAATCAGGGATTATACCACGGAGTGAATAAGTTTAACTTGTTCAGTGCTTTGTTGCTTCTAAGTAACAACTCAGAAATCTTTTGTGTCAAATCCACAAAACACAATTATTAACATAACTTATAAAGATACTCATTACATTAATGTATCGGAATATTGTACATTATACCAGCCCTAATAAAATATCAAATATTTTTGCCATTATTTTTGGCATGAATATCTCCGTAAATCCATTTGAAGGTATTTTTTTCACAGAAGAACATACCCAGGATTTCCAGGGGTGGGGTGGTGGGTGTGGGGTATTCTCTTCAGAGAAGTGGACAGGCTTTCGCCTACATCCACACTCGTTATACTCGTAGTTAATGTGACGTACATAGGTGAAGTTTTATGAAGACTTGAATATTGGATGGGGTCAACGAGTGAGTTCTTTCTTTGTTGCAATGATGCATGCAGGTGTAGGAATATTGAAAATTTCAAGTTTTCAAGTGTTTTGTAAGGTACCTTATTTTTTTTCCAATCTCCTGTCGCCCAGTCTAATTTGTTGTTTTTTGTTTTTTTTTGCTCTGTCTTCGCATCCTAAAAATGTCATTTTCAACAATTTTTTTTTTTAAAGTGTCTTTTAAACCTTTTTCTTCACATGATCAGTTTTCCAACTCCAATGTTACACATCAGCAACAAATACTATATTGATACATGTATGAAATATGTATTTTTCTATCTTTTTACCTTTAAAATGTAATTTTGCCTAATTACGCGGAGGTGGGGCTTAATAGATGGCTAAGAACAAGTCAGAACGATCACTTCACGAATTTCTTATGTAGATTCAGTATCTGTACTAAGATTTTTTAAAAGAAAAAATACAGTGCCAGTACATGTACATATCATAAGCATAAGCCTGATGATTTTTTTACGCCCCCGTATTCGAAGATTTGGGGGCATGTAGTTTTTGCCCTGTCCGTCCGTCCGTCTGTCTGTCTGTTTGTCGGAAGTACTTTAACCTTGCCCATAACTTTAGATTGCTAGGAGCTATGGCTTTCATATTTCACATGTGTATTCATTGTGACAAGACTTTTCTTTGGGTACCATCATATTTGACCTTTTGACCCTGATATTGGAGTTTGACCCACTTTTGCAAAATTTTATGAGACTTGAACCTTGGTCATAACTTTTGAACAGTTGGTGCTTGGGCTTTCAAACTTCACGTGAGCATTCCTTGTGATAAGATCTTTCTCTGAATACCAACAACTTTGACCTTGACCTTGGAGTTTGACCTACTGTTAAAAAACTTTAACCTTGGCCCTAACTGTTGAACAGTTTGTGCTAGGGCTTTCATACTATACATTTGTAATTCTTGTGACAAGACCTTCCTTTGGATACCAACAACTTGGACCTTTTGACCTTGACCTAGGAGTTTGACCTACTTTAATTTTGAAAAATATTAACCTTGCCATTACTTTCGAGCGATTGGTGTTAGGGCTTTCATACTCCACACATGCATTCCTTGTGACAAGACCTTTTGAAAGTTTCAAAATCATCTTGACCTTGGAGTTTGACCTACTTTAAAAAAATGTTAACCCTGGTCATTACATTTGAACAATTGGTTCTAGGACTTTCACATTTCAGGATCATATGTATCACTTGTGACAAGACCTTCCCTTGGGCACCATTTGACCTGGACCTTGCAGTTTTACTTACGTTTAAAAACTTTAACCTTCACCATAACTTTTCAATGGTTGGTGCTAGGGCTTTCATATTTCACAGGTATATTCCTCGAGACAAGACCTTTCTTTGGGTACCAACATTTTTGGTCTCTTGACCTGTACTTTGACTTGCATTTGAGAAACTTCATACTTGGCTATAAGCTGCCACATGGGGGCATCAGTGTTTCAAAAACACATCTTGTTTCATACTGTATTTTAGGTCATGCAGCTAATTAAAGTCAAATCTTATTATCGAACCCAATGAGACAGAGATAAAACTTTAAGACATCAGATGTGAGATACCAAGGTTAACTGGTTAAGATATATTTTTAAAAAAAGTGGATTGGGCTTCCAACTAACTCACATTATCCCTATTCTAATATTCAAGTTCTTAATACCCAAGTTCAACTGTACTTCATTAAGACCAGCATATTATAACCTATGTAGTAGACTGTTATAGAATCAAAAGACCATAGGTTCAAACTCTAGTCATTTTTTTTTTATTCACAATGGGAAAAGTGAATACGTAGAATATTCGGTTACAAAACTTTGCACAGATATACTTAGTATACTTCAGATAAATTACTATAAAATTATATCTATTTATAGAAGCCCATAGACTAGTCATATTTTATCAGTTTCAATGCAATAAAGGAGAATATAACTTTGATGTACAATTTATTCAAATACACGTACATGTGTGAAATCACTGTGCAAGTGCACAATCACTGAACATTCAAATGGATTGTAAATTATTTGTCCTTTCTTTAAGTGTTAATTAATTAATGTCCTAATTATTTGTTGTTATGATTCCTCTGCGTCTAGTGTGGCAGTGGACACTGCTGTTTGTTGTCTGCTGACTCTCTGCTCTGTTGAAAATAAAGAACAAAATGTTACCCACATGGCAATAGTAAGGTCAAGAATGGCTCACATTTAAGGGTTGGTTTGAACATATTTTATTGTAAAATTTTTCTAATTAAAAAGGGATTCGGCACAAGTTCTTATTACACCCTCTCCCTATATACATGTATATTACAAATTTAAATTAAGTCACAGTTAAACATTAAGATTTATTAAAGAATTTTACTAAATTCTATTTAAAACCCTTTTTAGTAGAAATATAAATGGAAATTGTTCACATGAATTAATCAAATACATCTAAATTAGGTGAATTCAGTTAAACTGTACAAATCACATTTAGTATAACAAACAATCACACATTAATCAAGATGTTAAATTTAATTTAAAAAAATAAAAAAACTGTTACCACTAATTACTTGATGACAAATTTAACATCTTACACATACTCAACCATGTTTTTGCAAAAACAATGTTTCTTTATGGAAATATATTTTAAGAACTATTTGACCTTAAGTTTTCATTGAATAAAAGAAATTAAAAAAATGATTGAATACCAATGATGTACACACTATTATCATGCTTTTTGATAATTTACAATGTCCCTTGGACTACGCATTATTTTCATTTTTAGGGATTATTGCAAAGATTTCATGCAGTTTATTCTATCTTACCAAACATTGTAAACATGTTGCTAAGCAACCTTTGTCGTTGCTTCAGCCCATCTAGAAAAGCAATCCGAGTAACCTGTACTTATTCCAACTGATATTATTATTACAAAACCATGCAGTACTACCAGTACACAAATGGTGTATATACGTAACTTCAGGAAAGTTCAAGACCATTAAATATGGATTCACATTCATGTGATACACTTTCACTAAAATGTTTGTAGGAGTCCAATGAAAAGTAACATTCCTAAAATACACCCAAATTTACATGTTAAAGAAACGACAAGAGGCCCATGGGCCACAACACTCGCCACACTCAACTGAGTCACTTTGACCCTGCTGTTCTGCGTCAGTTTTTTTCCCCCCAAAATACATGTATTCCAGACTATGTAAATTTTGATTGTCATTTACGGCCCTAACCTATAAACAGGGACCATTTTGATTTGAACAAAAATGAATCTACACTACCAGAGGATGCTTCCACTCTAATATAATTCATCATAGCTTTGCTAATCTTGAGTAGAGGAGTTTTAAAGATTTCTCCTTATGTAATCCATATTGTGGCCCCACCCTACCCACGGGGACCATGGTTTGAACAATTTACAATCTACACTACCTCAGAAAGCTTTCACCTAAAATTCATCTTTTCTGGTCCAGTGGTTCTTGAGAAAAAGATTTTTCCTAAATATTTCAATGTAAAACTTACATTTCCTATTGTGACCCCACCCTTACCTCAGGGGTCATGATATTAAAAATTTAGAATCTATTCTACACCATGAAGCTTCCACACAAGTTTCAGCTTTTCTGGCCCAGTGGTTCTTGAGAAAAGGATTTATAAAGATTTTTTCCTATAAATTTCAATGTGAAACTTTGATTTCCTATTGTGGCCCCACCCTACCTCCAACGACAATAATATGAACAATATAGAATCTACTTTACCTCAAAAAGCTTCAAAAATTAGTTTAGCTTTTCTAGTCCAGTGGTTCTTGTGTAAAAGTTTGATTCCCTATTGTGGCCCTACCCTATCCCCGGGGGGCCATGGTATGAATAATTTAGAATCTACACTATCTCAGGAAGCTTCCACATAAGTTTCAGCCTTTTTTTTGGCCCAGTGGTTCCTGACTCCTGAGATGAAGATTTTTTAATGACCCAACCTTATTTTTGCCTTTTCTGGATTATCTCCCCTTGGAAGGGGGGTTGGCCCTTCATTTGAACAATTTAGAATTCCCTTTACCTTGGGATGCTTTGTACCAATTTTGGTTAAAATTGGCTCAGTGGTTCTTGAGAAGAAGTTGAAAATGTGAAAAGTTTAAGGATGGACAGACAGATGAAGGACAACGGGTGATCAGAAAAGCTCACTCAAGCTTTCAGCTCAGGTGAGTTCATAAGGATTTAAAGATATCAAAGATGACTAGAATATATACTGTGGGTCTAAAGTGACAGATGAGATGTGAAAAAATGTTTCTATTTGGCAAACGGGGAGGGATATGTGACTTAATTTGGACAAAACAGCACACAATACTATACGTGTGGAACATATCAAACAGGAGATATTCATCAAAACAGTTCACACTAAACACACTGCTAGCCTGTTAGAGGGCTAGATAATTCCTACCCTGTGTGTAGGTATAGAATATTTATTCCTTCTTTTCCTTTTCATCTGCAATGTGTAATGAGTTCAGCTGACATTAAAATAAACCACAAATATAGATAATTACTGGTTTCTACTTTCTGTATATTCTTCCCTACCAACATGTGTATCATTTAATGAAAGAAAAAATAAACGTGGGCGTGTTTGATTTAGCCTAATTGGGTGTACACCAGTGTAAACCATTGTAAGAAGTTGTATTGCATAATCAAGTGCACTTACAAAGTGCAGTGTAGTGCGTATCTTGGGAGGCTGATAGAGATTTTTTACAATGGAGAAAAAAAAATGAAATGTGTTAATATTTGACTAAATTATTTAAAATACTGGTACAAATTAAAAAAATCCATTTCAAATGTAACTGCCTAATCCTGAGACAATTTGAATGTGACTTCTAATTTTTTGTTATAATCAATATTACATTGTATTACATAAAATCATTGTCAAATTTCCAATCATACCGACATTCATCGTCGCAATTAGTCACAGGTTTTGTGTCCATTCTAATGGACACAAAACCCGTGGCTTGCAACGATGACTGACATTCACCATATTGGATTTAGTGCTACATCTTCACTTGCCTAGACTTGGTGCAGGAAAGTGCACGTACACAGAATGTACATCAAAAGGAAGTTACATTACATTAAAGATTGATACACATATGGACAGATAAACACATTCTAAATCAACTTTGATCAGGAAAGCCTATTTGCAATAATAACTCAAATGAGCCATTGAAATGCTTTATTTTTTTTTTTTTGAATTTTAAGAGGAGTCCATTTTACAGCATCTTAAACTTTACCTGGAGGAACTGTTTCTCCTGATGTCTCTTCCACATGGGGGCTAAAATAAAATGTCCATGTTTAAGATTTTTGAATCTTAATTTAAATTCATCCATATTTAAATGAAAACGCATCTGAAGCTTTGAATTATATTTGACTTCTATTGAGGTACAGCTGGTATAAGAAGAAACTCACGGCTTTTCTCCCTCCTCTTCGTTTTCCTCATCTTCATTGTCAGCCCCCAGAGGAGACAGTGTTTGAAGGTTAAACATGGCCAGGGGTTCACCAATAATCCCAATTCTGAAAAATTCTTCACTGTTACATTTATCAAGTTTTCAAAATCACAAAGACAAGATCAGAAATATGATAAAAGTATGTAAAGTTTCAAAGCTTTAGTATATTTGTAGATAACTAAGCAATTTTGTTTATTTGAAGTTTTTCTTTGGTTTGATGCTTTAAGAGGTCTCCTAAGTTTGATATGGATAAAACTTTGACAGGTGCCAAAGTAGTCCATATTTGATTTTTTTCAATTGAAATCAATTTGATTTTCCTCTATAGTCCATACTTAATGTTTTTTTTTTATTGAGGTAAATTTGATTTTCCTCTAATTAGTCCATACTTGATGTTTTTTTTATTGAGGTAAATTTGATTTTCCTCTAACACCTCTTCCTCTTCCTCATCCTCTCCTCGTCCAATCTTCTCCAGCTCACTTCAAAATAAAACAATGCCATTTTATTTAGGGGAGGGGGTGGGGGCAGTGAGGGGGCAGGGTGGAGTGTGCGTTTGCAAGATTTCAACTTGACAACTGACTTCTGAACATCATCTTTATTCAGACATAAAAAAACTTGCTTTAAGGCTTGTAAAAATATGATGTCTCTAGTTTCTATTTAATGCCAGGATTTTAGGTTGAAAGACAAAATATGTAAAATACAAATCTTTTTGGCCCTAATTCTCCAAGAATCCTATCTGATTAGAGTGAATTTGTCAAAATTGAAGTTACGCTCCATATCTTCCTCTAGAATCAAGTTGAAATTGTTTAATTATTCTTTATTTAAGGAATTACCTTGGTGGTAATGCATTTCTCATTTTAAACAGCCAATGGGCTTCCTCTTTTGGAGATGGCAAGACTGCTACAATAGCAGGGGATCTCTGACTGCAAGGAGGAAAAAACAATTCATTAATGTTTACCACACTGAAATTTTGTTAAAAATAAAATAAAAAGTATGGTTTGTCTCATTGTTTTCTAACTTCAGGCACATTACTGCAGATTTCTCCTGTGATATAACTTGTGTTAAAGATTGGATTATACTTTAAAAGAATTAACATTCAAATCATAGAGGAAAAAACTGTCAGCATATAGAGATTGTTATACTTACTGTATTATTGATTTGATGGCTGGCCGCTTCCTAGAACAGAAATAAAAAGATCTGCAATTAACACTACATTCATCAAAATTGCTAAGAATAAAATGACTTCATAATTAAAACGTTTTAACAAAATTGAACACATTAACAAATGTAACTTTGACCACAAGATTTATGTGTAATCAGGAGATTTATCATAAAAAAAAAGTTAAATGCGTCATATGGCCTGGCTGTCAAGGAGGTTTAACTTCTGGGTAATGCTTTCAAATTAAAACTACTTTTTCTGATGTTCTTGGGCAGATAAAAAAAAAATAATAAAAGTTTAATACATGTTTCTTACATTCATATAAAAATTTAACACATTCTAGCTTCTTGTTGGCACGACCATGAATTACCAATAGTTTTTCAGTGTTCTAATGACAACATCAAAACTATGCATTACGATTTGTATTTTAGTGTAATGACTCCCTAAAAATGCCATAATATGACTCGCTTTCAAATAATTACACACACACACTAGCTATAGAGTATATGTAATTAACTTAATATTTTATTACGTTGTAACAAGGTAAACTGGCCTACATATAAGCATTCTTTGCCAGCTAGAGTGTAAGTTGTACTGAGTAACATTAACTTACGGATGCAGCCTTCGGTATTCCGCTGGCGTTAATTTCTTCTCTTCTTTGTTTTCTTTGTCTTTTTTATCTTTCAGATCTTTCTCTGCAAATGGAAAGATAAATGACATTTAAGTTGTACCCTGTGTTTATTGTGATAAAAAAACAGGAAACAAGAATAAGAATTCGCAGTTGCATGCAATTACAGTCAGACAGGGATAGTTTAATCTGTTGCCATTAGATTTTCTTCAATCAAGTTTTCAAAATCATTTGTGGTTTAAAAAAAAAAAAAGCAGGAAAATCTTACCATCAGGAGCATTTTTGACTCTAATGGCAGGGTTGAATGTATCAGATCTCAGCAATCTGTAAAAAAAAAAAAAAAGAACTCATGAATTAGAGCAAAAATATAATTATGCAGTAAACTTTATTTGGATTCTTTTATATTAGTTTCAATATAAATTAATTGACAAACCAATATAAACTGACAAATTATCTTTAACTTTGTAGCTCATTGCTTGTATAAAATGGAGCTCATAAAAATTAAGGCATTTTTAACTTTTTGAAGTACACATATATAGGCTTTTGGTGTGAAATACATGTATTTCCAATTGATGTGTGTCTGCTAATGTTTTACTTTATAATATTTTGTGTCTTTTACATTCACACGTTGCTTGTGCAACTTTTTATACTTTACATTTGTAAATTTTATACCGCTTATTCTCGTGAAAAGTCACACCTCCATGTATATTTCATAGTCCTTGTGTAAAAATCTAGGTGAAAATGTCAAATTCCTACTAATTAAATGCATAAATTTGCAATTGGTGCACAGACAATACTTTTGACAAAACACCCACCTTCCGACTTCTTTCCTGATATTTTCATATTCCTTCTTTTTGAATGCAATCCATACAAAGTATGCACAGAATGAATAAAGTGTCTGAAACATGAAGAAGTCAATTTTACTTGTTCATACTTATGCATATCACTGAAAAATCACAATTTATAGCTGTCATAATGTTATACACAGTATCTCACAGTTATCTCAAACTTGATGGGACTGAGAAAAAACTTCAAGATATCCGAGGATTCAAGATATCAGAGGTAAAATATTTAAAGAATTTGTGGTTGGGGACTTCCAAATCACTTGATGTATCCATTTTTTTTGTTGAGATATCAGTATTCAAGATACCGAGGTTCAACTGTAAATGAACGGAGTTTCTTACGATCATTAACGTTGTTTGCTGTACACTGGGAAACTTGTATTTGACATTTAGTGTGTCATTTCACCCAAACTATTGTAATCCAATTTCATAATTCTTTTAATTCTTTAACTTATACTGTGTATATTTGTGTTTGAAGTAGTCCATACTTATCTTTAATAAATTGGAGATGACAAAGAGAACACAAAATCAAGTAATGAATTGTCCACTGTCACTGTTTATATAGTCAGTCATGCATAGAGAAAATCTTAGCCATGCTTTATTATTTTACCTCAAACATGCTCCTATCTTTCAGGGTAGATGAGACTCGTGATCTAAAAAATAATTAAAATATTAAAAAAATGTATTAAAATAAATGAATTTATATGAATGAAATTGAAAAATACAGGCCAAATTTCCAGTCAAGGCTTAGTAATCTGATAAGTGATACTTAAAGCAGTTGTGTTGTGGCCTTTTGTTACAATTTTTGACAAAACTTTCACTTTGAAGTTCTCTTTTGAAGTTAAAATCCTACCCTCCACAGGCCATATGATGAACGGTCTCCAGTCCCAGACCTAACACCAGCAGACAGTACGACTGACCCAACAAACGATGAGCTACCTTCAGCTTAGCACAAGCTACTTCATAAGCTTCTTTTTCTGATTTACTGGGTTCTCTAAAATCAAATGGTGTAAAAAAAAAGAATCATCATTATATATCTTGGGATTGAAAATATAAAGTTTAAAGACATGCCCTCGGACTTAAGATTTACTCACATGTATGTTGTTGTGTTTATTTTATGTTCCTGGTGAAGTTTATCAAAGAAACAATGAAAATAGCTCAGTAGGTGTAGTAGGAAATTATCAAATTGGTCTGTGCTGAAAAACAAAAAGAAAAAATTATTAAAGATATACACTGTACATAAGAATTTCTTAGTACCTGCATGGTAGTCATTTGGTGCTTAGAAATGTAGCAGCATATTTTCTTAAATGAAGAATAAAAGCTTACCATTTAAATATATTGTTACCGTAATATTCAGTTTATTCTTAAGTCTTTTAAATCTTACTATATACACAGATAGCTGCATGAGTAATACAGCCAGATTTGCCCAGAAACTCAGTGTAGGCCATAATCAACCATGGGTTTCCAACAATTAATGCATGAGTTGTTTAAGGTGTTTGTTTCATACATGTATACTCTGGTGTTTTATTCAAACAATTAGAGATTTTTATCCTTGCAAGTATTTTTTTCTTTTTCCAATAAAGTGCTTGGACCTCAACTTGAGTATTATTGCACTTGCCATTTTCACACTAAAAAGTTATGGTGAATGATAAAATGTATAGAAGTGATCATTTGGAACCTCCATTTGGTGTGTTTGTTTGAGTCCATCTTTTGCTATCTCCATTAACAGGAATCAACTTGAGATGCTAATTAAACTCACTGAAATATTCCTTCAAATGTGTCTGACAGATTTTCTCCATCTGATATTAGGCTGTACGCAACTCCCTTGACATCGTCCAGTGTGACTGTGGAATGTTCTGTTGTTTGTTTTATAGGAGGGTGTGGAGATTTTGTGGTATTTCTGCGGGTTTGACCTCTATTGTATCCACCTCGTGCCACACTGGAGGCTACCCTGAATTACACAATTAAAAACTGTTGAAATAGAACCTTAAATTATTAAAATGTTGTCAATGTTATTATTTGGAATTAAAGAAATGATACATCATGAGTCTATTCTGGACTTAACACAAAACTTTCAGTGAAATGAAAGAGCTGTGCTTAATGTAACTGTAAAATGACACAGAGAAAAAAAATGATGACTAAAGCACTGACATTTTAGTATTTATGACATCATAAACCAAAAATGATTTCCCAAATTTTTCACTAAAAAAATTTTCAAGTAATTTTACTGTAGACCACATTCACTGTGGATCATATAATTCTTTAAAAATATTATCAATTTTATTACATTTAACAAATTGTGTTAGACATCACACATGTAATTTCTTAATTTTCTCAAATGAATAAAAAGAATGTAACTAGCAATCACATTTTTTTTTCATTCAAATGTAAAATTATTACACTCTGAATATGTCAAATTGTCTGATATTGAAATTTTGAAAGAAAATATTACTATACATGTACCCATATAGTAAAATTCAGGTATAAGGCAGTCACTGGGACCTCAAATTTTACCTCCTTATATCTGAGATTCTTAATATCTGTATAGCGAACATGAGTTAAAAGTTGCCAAGGGGATTCATGAAAAATTCTTTAAAACCAAGTTTTACTGTAAATGTAATGGATTTTAAATTTGATGAAGTTTGATGAGCAAATATTTCACAATTGAATAAAAAAAAACATGAAAATACAGCTGAACTTTGGAAATCCGAACATTGAACATTGGAAAGAAGAAACAAAATCATTGGACTTTGTCAGGTTAAGCACTGTGCTTTATTTGTATTTTTGACACTGGATAGGCACAATAGTTACAACTACTTTTTCTTTATGTATTTTAACCTCAATATCTCAAATCCTCTGATGTCTCAGAGTTATTTTCTCAGCCCCAATAAATTCAAGATGATGAAGTTTGACTGTAGCAAGCCAGTCAAACAATAAAAATATTGATTTAATACTGGGATCAATGAAATTGATTAAATTGGTAATATCTATGTTTTCCTGAAATTGCATGAAAATACTGACCTATCTTTTAATTTGTTTCCTTCCCTTGTTCTTTTCTTTCTGTCCCTCTCTGCCATTGGATTTGCACTGGAAAACGATCAAAATTTCATAGTGAAGTGTAGAATGAGTATATTTATAACATTGTAAGCATTGACTCTGTAAAAAAAGTTTTAAAAATATATATTGGACAGCAATTTGTCAGTTAAACAATAACTCAACATATCAATAAATTTTAACATCTGTAGAATGCATACAATTTCTTGTGTTGAGACCAATGTAAAATTGTGATTTGAGACCACCTGTGTGGTCAAATTAAGTTTACAGAAATAATCTATTCTGTTTAAAAGTTAAATTGCTCAAATAACTCCTTCTTTGAAAATATATATATTAATTTCGAACATTCCTGGACACTACTGTAAGCTCGAAATAACCCCAAATTATCCAGTGTCAAAAATACAAATAATGCACAGTGCTTAACCTGACAAAGTCCAATGATTTTGTTTCTTCTTTCCATATCCATTTTCCAGGAACAACTGGAAGCAGTCCCTAAAAAAGGGGGAAAAACTACATGTACAATTAATAATAGGCCCATATGATAAAAACAAAGCGAATCAAAATAAATATTCTTTTCATTATGATAAAGGGGCTGGTTAATAAGGATGTAGATGATATTTAAAAAAAACTGCTATTGTAGTTAACAACAATATTTTACCGATACATGTTCATCAACAGTTTTCGACATTTTTTTTTTACTTCATGCTTTTCAACTCTACCACTTTGCCTCCATATTGTACATAGCAACAATGTTGATAAAAAAATAAAATATCAATCCCGATGTTTATTTATTTTATCAAAGTCGGGTTAGGTTCACTTAGAGTTGGCGGTAAAAGTAGTATCATGTCCCTGATAGTGAATTAATTTTCGATTAAATAGTCTGGACATTGCTTTTGAATTTTCAAGAATAGTGATGTATGACTTATTACTGTAATCTTTGCTAAATTAAACTGAAGAGTGGAGTGTTGCATTTGTTTTGGAGTCTCAAACTCTACTTTTACCAAATGCTTTACAAAATCAGTCACATGAACCATAAATGATAGAATCTAGCAGACAACTTGAAAATGGGAGTGAAAATTGTTTTAACACATGTTTTGTTTGCTCTGATACTATCTGCGTACTCAGAAAATCTAAAAGGTAAAAGTAATTATAAGCAACTGAACCACAGGCCTCTGAATTTCTATCAATAAGCCGTTATATGATTGATCAGAATGATATCAGGATATATACATACCCCCTCTATAAATAAATTCACTGTATTTATATATAGAGGGAATATATATATCACTCTGATCAATCTTATAATGGCTTATTGATAGAATCATTCAGAGGCCTGTGACTGGACAAAATCTTTTAAATTAAGAACCTGTCATTTTTATATCCTATTTGTCAGGTTGGGCACAGTTCCTTTTTCGAGGAAGTACTACAATACAACTGGATTATTCCTCTTTTCAGTAATAAAAACATAACTGTATATGATAATTTTCACTCGTTTACCCTCTATTCTTGTGTTTGCTTTGAATAAAAGATTAAGTGCAAGAATATTTTCACATTCTCTAAATATTTATAATCTATTAAGTGTATGTTATATAATGCTCAAAACTACAATATTTGTCGCTGCAAAAAGCTGAAAAGGAGTGATGAAATATTTCTACGATATAAATTTCTTACGGAAGCTTATCTGTGTTCAGATTGTGAGATTGAATATGTTCAGCACTTGCTAACTTGTTCATGAAATTATTCATTCTAATTTAATTTTACATCATTTCTTTCAAAGACATCGTAAAAATAATGTTTAATACACTGCTTCTTTTACAGATGAAAAAAATTACTTGAAATACTAAATTTTAAAAGATAGTCATTCAAAGATGGTCTTATTAATAGAATGAATATTCTATAAGATCCCATACTTTACGTACCATTTATCAACAGGGAAAATTAAAGTAAAAGTCTGCTGCACGTGAGTTTAAATTCCTATGCATGTTCAAAAGATGTCACCTCCACGAAAGCAAGCTATGAAATTTTCCGTTTTTGAACAAATAATAATATACTTATAAGGGAAATATTCACATCTGTTTGAAGAATACTCATGATATCGTATCATTAAATCTCATCTTACTCCTGTCTGCAGCACTAAAGGACCGAATTTTTTTGTCAGCGAGGTTGGTTTAATAAAGTTTAAACACATCACATCGTATTTTTCATGCACTTTTTTTTTTAATAAATGGATTTGGGGCATTATTTTAAAAAAATGACTAAAATTCCCGTATACAGTAATGTTTTTTATTACTGAAAAGAGGAATAATCCCATTTTATAGTAATACTTCCTCGAAAAAGGAATTGTGCCCAACCTGTTTGTTACTCACAGGCTCTTGTTTCGTATACGGGGTATCCCCTACTTATTTTTACCACAAAGGTACCTAACTCAATTTCAGGCACCCGTGCTTCAAATGAAGTACTTGATGTGTAAAGTAAGGAATCTACCATAAGGAATCGTACTTGAAGTTTACTGTTGCACTAATGACCATGTTTTAATTAATAAAAGAACTTGTTTATTACAGGGACTTTTGGGTGTATGTTAAAGGCTTTTGGTGACAATGCCTACGTCTGTGTTTGTAATTCAACCTACTGTGATACTGTAGAGAACACAGAACCCCAAAAAGCTAGCAAGGGAGGTTACTCTGTATATCAGTCAGACAACACAGGAAACCGTCTAGTTCATAGTTATGGCTCTGCCAGCAAACAGAAACAGGGAAAAGGTAATTAATTGATATACTGCAGAATTCAAAGGATCAGAATGCTAAATGATATTTTTTTGTGACATTTTTATTCATATGTGTGATGAAGACTACTTTTATACTGTGGAATCATGGTCAATTCTTATGGATTTATAAGGATCCACAGGATTATGAGGATGTAATTCTATGAACCAGTTTTACCAAAATTGGTTCACAATTTTACATCCATACCAGCTAATCCATACAATCCGGTGAATTCTTAACTTTTTTACAGAAATCCTGGTGAACCAGAATACAACCTTTCAGTCCATTATTGGGTTTGGTGGAGCCTTCACAGATGCTGCTGGAATCAACATCCAGTCTCTGTCGGCTAACACACAGCGGAATCTACTCTCATCTTACTACTCAACAGAAGGTAGCCTCAAAGGAAAATGATACTTGATTATGTTTATTTAATGGCACTCAGTGCTACACACTTTATCCAGGTTAAGGCCGGATAAATATGGGTGAATTCATATCCTGTCTTCACTTGCCAAGGTTTTTGGTTTGCTTGATGCTATCAGAGGAGCAGAGCAGACAGAAAAGCCTTGGCTAAGAAAGATTGTCTACAGAGGCTTTAATTCATCTACAGCTTGTGGGTTAAGTAAAACAGATGAGAATTACAATGTGGACTAAATATTATTGATTCATATAATGTTTACAATATTTTATGCAAAATACTTCCACTCTCATTCCACCACCGTGAGGTGGCTGGGATATATAGTGTTACCCTTTTCTGTTCATTATACCGTCATTCTATCATAGCTAGTTTTCCTGATTTTTTTTGCTATGCTTGAGGATAATGAGCTGATTTTTGGTATGTTTCTTGATATTGATGATGATTTACAGATCAAATTCGAGTTTTGCACCGATTGCAAAATTACAGCCCCTTGATAACTCCAAATAATTCACTGTTTTCCAGACTTATTTTTGGCATGCTTGTATATAATAAGTTGATTTTTGGAGTGTCTCTTGACATTGATGACTTACAGGTCAAATTTGAGTTTCATGTTGATTGATCCATTTTTATGAAAGTTATAGACCTTAGACTTTGAAAATTTCTAATAATTCACTGTTTTCCAAACCTTTTTTGTTGTTGTCCTTGTAGGTAATGTTCTTTGGTTTGTCTCTTTATATTGATGACTTACAGATCAAATGTATATGAGATTTATATTGATTGGACCATTTTTACAAAAGTTATGGGCCTAAGATTTTCAGAATTTTGAATCATTCACTGTTTTTGGACCTTTTTTATTACTTTGCTTGTAAGTTATCACTATTTTACACAGCCTAAATATGTTGCAGTATAGACAACTGATTCCAGAAAACAAAAGCAGCAGTATGATATTTTATTTTTGCGCCATATTCACCCATTTTATTTTCACACTCTTGGACTTTCATATTTGAAACTTGCATATCAGCGGGGGGCATTCTTGTCACCCGGACACATCTAGTTCTTTTCATATTCCAGGTATTGAGTATACACTTGGGAGAATTCCTATGGCCAGCTGTGATTTTTCAACACACCCCTATTCCTACGATGACACAGATGGGGATTTTAACTTGACCAAATTTTCCTTAGCCCAAGAGGACTTCAAATATAAGGTACAGCACTGCACAACTCCAAAGTGCAATGGGATCCAAAGTCCGATGGTCCCGCTGAAGTTCAGTGGTCTTGCACCAAACCATGATGGTATGACACACTAAAGTCTGATGTTGTGAAATAAACAATTAACATTAATAACAAGTCTTAGTACTGTAATAATTTTGGCTGTGGATATCAGCCTGGGTAGCACCTGAGTAGTGATGCAGGGGTCCCGGGTTCGATTTCCAGTCCAGCCATACTCTTCTCCTTTCCTGTTACATACTTATACCCCCGCTCCGGAGGAGAGGGGGGTATACTGTTTTACCCTTTTGTGTCCGTCCGTCTGTCTGTCTAGCTGTCTGTGTGTCTGTCCATAACAAATTTTCGTCGCAGTTTTCTCAGCAACTACTCATCACAGATGATTGAAATTTTGGCACACTCTTTGTTAAGGCATGCCATATGGTGGGATTCATTTTTTTGCGAATCCGATGTCAACTTCCTGTTTATCCATGCATCTGTCCGTACCATACATAACAAATTTTGGTCACAGTTTTCTCAGCAATTACTTCTTACAGATGCTTGAAATTTTAGCACACTCTTTGTTAAGGCATGCCATATGGTGGGATTCATTTTTGTGCGAATCTGATGTCAACTTTCTGTTAATCTGCGCTTCTGTCCGTACCATACATAACAAATTTTGGTCACAGTTTTCTCAGCAATTACTTATCACAGATTCTTGAAATTTTAGCACACTCTTTGTTTAGGCATGCTATATGGCCGAATTTATTCTTGTACAAATCTGATGTCAACTTCCTGTTTATCCCTGTGTCTGTCCATAAATGAACTTGTGTATTTACATCAGAGCGGGGGTATTATTAGTGAGCGTTAGCTCACAGACTTCTTGTTTAGTTCCGTTGATCACCCCTGGACTTGCAGGTGAAAGTCCTTCCAGGTGCATATAAAATCCAGGGTTGTGTTTTCAAGGGCAAAGACAATTTAAGGAGGAAGGAATGTAATGGTTTGGGCTGTGGATAGTGGTTAAAGCACCTGACTAGTGATGCAGGGGTCCCAGGTTTGATTCCCAGTTCATCCAAACATTTTTCCTTGCCTGTTACATAATTTACATAATCCTGGGTGGCTCAGTGGTTAGAGCATCTGACTAATGATGCAAGGGTTCTGGGTTCAATTCCCGTGCCAGTTATACATTTTTTTCCTTGCCTTTTACAGTACTACTGCCCCAATTACAATGCCGCACCAGGCCAAGGTCTGATGGTTTTAAATAAATACAAATGATTATTAAATATTTGATTGCCAAAGTGAAATGGTTGACCATTCACTGGAATACATGTACAACAAAATATGATCGTACTACTAACCCTAATTTCTCAAGTGGGTGCGAGGCTAACCATAGTCTCTTGGATGGACTAACAGCAATTACTTGAAAAGTGCGCAACAACTAACCTAGTTATATGTTTTTTGGGTGGGAAAAGGACTGATCATCATCAGTAGAATAACATGCAAGGACTAATGTTATAAATCTCTATGGTGGACGCGAGACTTACCCTATTCAGTAGAAGAGTGTGCAAGAACTAACCCTAAATCTCTCAGATGGTTGTGAAGCTAACCCATAATTAGTCCAATAGTGTGCAAGAACTAACCCTTATTAGTCAATTTTTGTGCAAGGACTAACCCTTATTAGTCAATTTTTGTGCAAGGACTAACCCTCATATCTCAGAAGAGTCTAAGTACTAAGCAAAATCAGTCAAATTGTATGGAAGGACTCAACCTGAATTGTTGGCTTTTAATGCCAGAAAATGGTGTCATGGATTGACATCGGAATATTGTGACATCTTAAATGTTGATTGTTTCTCAGCACCATTGGACTTTGCCATGTGAGACCATTGTACTTTAAGGCTATGTATCTCATAGGAAATGAGCCATCAGACTTTGGCGTCTGAAGGACACCAAACCAGCGGGGTTTGGCGCAGACCACTGGGCTTTGGCAAAACCATTGGACTTTGGTGGTGACCATCGGACTTCGGAATCTTTCAGTCTTGCATAAATAACATACATTAATTGTTGTACCTTATGTTAGAAATTAGAATGTCATCATCAGTTTATATTTTGCCTGGAATAAGCTCTTAGTTTATCTATAGAGTAACATATCTATCTATTTATATTGTGGCAGATACCAATCACACAAGCAGTAATGAAGACTTTCAAGAGGAATTTAACCTTATTTGCTAGTCCTTGGAGTGCTCCAGCATGGATGAAGACCAACAAAAACATGACTGGAAAGGGCTCCTTGATTGGACAACCAGGTGGACCATACTTCAAATCCTGGGCACTGTATTTTGTGAAGTAAGATTATGCTTGATGTTTAACCTTGTTTATAATAATTATAATTTGTGTTTTGGGGTGTGCCACTCCTAGAAGAGCCAGACTTGGTACTGCTACACATATTATGAATAAAATATCTTAGATCACAGTGCTAATCTGTAAATAATGTTAACTTCTGCCATTGCAAGGGTTCAAAATTTTAGCCCTGTAATTCCATAAATGCTGGGTATAGATATGGATAGCTTAATTTGTGAAATTTTTGTGAAACACAATGGGACTAAGAAAAAACAGAGATTATTTTTGACATATCCATGGTATTGAGATGTCAATGTTCTAGATACTGAGTTCAGCTGTACCAGAGTCATAACATAAAAGTAAATGATCTTAGTTCTGACATCTAATCAACCTCAAATAAGGATTTGCTTTTAAGGAAGACATATTTTTAACAAAAGTTTGTGGAAAATCTTAAAGAATCATGATATTGAAAAATATATGAGCAGCGGACAGTTTCTTAAAAATCACATGACAACATACTAGAAATGATTGAAAAGTGTATGAAAGAAATTTTAATTGTAATTAGTTGTAATTATTTTCAGGTTTCTAAAGGCCTATGCAGATAATGGAATTCCTATTTGGGGTCTGACAGGACAGAATGAGCCTACTGACGGAATGATTACGAACTTTCCATTCCAAGCGATGGGCTGGACGCCAGAAATGCAGAGAGATTTTATCGTTAAGGATCTTGGACCCGCTTTACAACAGAACTCTCTAGGTGATGTAAAGCTAATGATCTTAGATGACTCCAGACTTCAGCTACCCTACTGGGCAGAACAGGTACCCTTTCCTAAATCCTGTGGAAAAAAAGTTATTTATTGTTTACAGTGCATGTAATCCTCATAGGCAATTTCCTAGTGAAAATTATTTTCATTTTTCATGATAATTCATCCAAAAGCCAACTGACTCATATATTCTATAGAAATGTTTGTCCTTATAACATCATCAGTAAATTACTTAGTGTATTTCTGATCTGTTTGATGCATGTACACTAGGTTTTCAGTAGTGAAGAGGCCAGAAAGTTTGTGTCAGGGATAGCGGTCCATTGGTACCAAGATTTTGTTGCCCCCACTCTGGCCCTGTCTAGCACCCACAAAATGTTTCCAGATAAATTCCTACTGGCTACAGAGGCCTGTGCTGGGTCCCTGCCATGGAATTACCCTAAAGTAGCCCTAGGAAGCTGGAAAAGAGGGGAGGATTATGCTCACGATATAATGCAGGTATTGATCATAAAAACAGTGGCCATTTATTCTGTTCAAAGTAAAATGGAAAAAATAAAAGAAGTTTACTTCAAACAGAAAAAAATTGAATGTCATTATTGAATGATTATATCTTTTTCTTCGCTTGAACTTGTTCAACATTTCCCAATATTTCCATCATTAAACATCATTGAATGAAGTATTTTGCAGCATCTGTGATTTTAGGAGCAACATTATTCTTCTGAATGTTGCTGTTGGATCTTTATTTTGTAGGATCTGAATAACTTTGTCAGTGGATGGACAGATTGGAATATAGCCTTAGACATGGAGGGTGGACCAAATTGGGTGAAAAACTTTGTTGACAGTCCAATTATAGTCAATGCCAAGACAGATGAATTCTATAAACAACCCATGTTCTATGTTATGGGGCACTTTAGGTAATTTCCCTTTAGATATTAAAGATAGTATGGCCCAGTTGCAAAGTATAGGTGACTCTCTATGGGTCAAACGTCTATCTCAAGAAGTTATTGATCCCCAAATTTTTCTCCTACATGTATATACATGTAATTAAGCAAAGTTACTCTTGATCTCTTGAATTCTCAGCTTCTTGAAACCCTTGATCTTTTGAAGTCAAAATGCAGCCATGCAGTGCATAATCTAGTAATTTACCATCAATAACTCAAAGTGGCTCTGCGGATAGAAGGTGACTTCTTTTACATGAAATAGAGTAATAAATGTTATTCTTTTTATCCAATAGGTTCAAAAACATAAATTTCAAGGTTGATCCCAATGAGAGTACAACTTATTATGAAATATCACTCATGAAAGAGCTAAATAAAATCATTGATAAAGATGGACATTTTAAATCTTCATGTATAGGCCATAATTTGCATCACAATCTGGCCAGAATAGAAATTGCTTGATACATGTAAATTAAGATTCAAAGGCACCAAATTTGAACTCTATGATATGTAAACACTGAATGATTATTTGGATGGTGAAGAACTGTCGATAAGTTTCTGTAGAACTGGTTTGATTTAACCCAGTATCAAGGTGATGGATCCAAAAGACTTGGAATTAAACCTTACCACCACTAGGAAGTTGAACATATGGGTATTATTGAAGTTGCAAGTTAAAATATGAAAATAAACCATCAATAGGAGGATGAGATTAATGTTTCATATAATTTTTAGCTCTACTGGTCAGAGACCAGAAGAGCTTATGCGATAGTAATGTGTCCGTCGTCCGTCCGTCTGTCTGTCTGTCTGTCTGTCCGTCTGTAAACAATTTTTCAAAATGCTACTCCTCCTACAGTTTTGGTCTGATTTCAATATAACTTGGCACACAAGTAGACTACACTAAGATACATAATTCTGTGTATCGGTTTTTGATTTCGATGAACGGTGTTGCCATGGTTACTAAAAATAGAAATTTCTGTGAAAAACATTCAAAATGCTACTCCTCCTATAGTTTTGATCTGATTTCAATATAACTTGGCACACAAGTAGACTTTACTAAGATGCATAATTCTGTATATCGGTTTTTGATTTCGATGAACGGTGTTGCCATGGTTACTAAAAATAGAAATTTCTGTGAAAAACATTCAAAATGCTACTCCTCCTACAGTTTTGATCTGATTTCAATATAACTTGGCACACAAGTAGGCTATACAAAGATGCATAATTCTGTGTATCGGTTTTTGATTTCGATGAACGGTGTTGCCATGGTTACTAAAAATAGAAATTTCTGTGAAAAACTTTCAAAATGCTACTCCTCCTACAGTTTTGGTCTGATTTCAATATAACTTGGCACACAAGTAGACTACACTAAGATACATAATTCTGTGTATCGGTTTTTGATTTCGATGAACGGTGTTGCCATGGTTACTAAAAATAGAAATTTCTGTGAAAAACATTCAAAATGCTACTCCTCCTACAGTTTTGATCTGATTTCAATATAACATGGCACACAAGTAGACTATACTAAGATGCATAATTCTGTGTATCGGTTTTTGATTTCGATGAACGGTGTTGCCATGGTTACTAAAAATAGAAATTTCTGTGAAATACTTTCAAAATGCTACTCCTCTTACAGTTTTGATCTAATTTCAGTATAACTTGGCACACAAGTAGACTATAATAAGATACATAATTCTGTTTATCGGTTTTTGATTTCGATGAACGATGTTGCCATGGTTACTAAAAATAGAAATTTCCTTGAAATACCTTCAAAATGCTACCCCTACAGTTTTGGTCTGATTTTAGTATTACTTAGCATACAAGTAAACTACACTAAGATACATAATTCTCTGTACCAGTTTCGGATTTTGATGAATGGTGTTGCCATGGTTACTAAAAATAGACATTTTCTTGAAATACTTTCAAAACGCTACTCCTCCTACACTTTTTGTCTGATTTCAGAATAATGTGGCATACAAGTAGACTACAGAGATACATAATTGGTGTTATTGTTTTTTGATTTTGTTGAATGATGTTTCCATGGTTACTTAAATCAAAATTTCAGTAAAATTGTTTTAAAAGGCTACTCCTCCTACAGTTTTAGTCTGATATAATAATAAATCTTGCCAAAAAGAGACTAAACCAAGGATCATTATTCTATTTATTGCTGTTGCAAAGTTTCAAGTCCAAGTGCTACTTTTATCTTCCTTTATAAATACAACCAGTAGAGCTACAGTCTCATCAGAGACTTCTGGTTTTAGTTTTAATAGGAATTGTACAATGTATTCTTTTTCCTTTCCTTGCATGCCATAAACAGTAAGTTTATCCTTCCTGGATCAGTGAGAATTAAACTAGTACCAAGCCAAGCTCTTGAGAAAGATACCCAGATTGTAGGCTTCCGAAGACCAGACAAGGCCATAGTCTGTGTTTTACTGAACAAGTGAGTCTATTTTAGCTTTTAATAGTACATAAAAAGTTGAATGCTTTTAGCTTTTTATGCCTCCTTAATCAAAGATTGGGGGCATATAGATTTTGGTTTGTCCATCCACCTGTCTGTCTGTTAAACTGTTTGTGTGTCTTCAAAAACTTTAACCTTGCCCATAACCTTTGAATGGTTGGTGCTCAGGCTTTCATATTTCACATGTATATTTCTTGTGAAAAGACCTTTCTTTGGGTACAAACACATTTGACCTCTTGACCTTTGAGTTTGACCTTCTTTTGCAAAATTTTACCAAACTTTAATCTTGGCCATACCTTTTGAACAATTGGTGCTAGGGCTTTTATATTTCACATATGTACTCCATGTAACAGACCTTTCTTTGAGTACAGGTACCAATATTTTTGGCCTTTTGACCTTGACCTTTGACCAACTTTTGAAAAACTTTAACTTTGGCCATAACCTTTGAATAGTTGGTGCAAGGGTTTTCATATATCACATGTGTATTCATTGTGACAAGACCTCCCTTTGGGTACCAACATTCTTGACCTATGAGCTTGACCCACATTTGTAAAAACTTTAACCTTGCCTATAACTTTTGAACGGTTGGTGCTAAACTTTTTCTTTGGTACCAGTATTTTTGACCTTGGACCTTGGAGTATGACCTTCTTTTGAAATACTTTAACCTTTTCCAATATTTTCTGAATTGTTGGTGCTAGCTAGGACTTTCATATTTCACTTTTGTGTTCTTTGTGACAAGACCTTTCTTTGGTTACCAACATTTTTGAACTCTTGACCTTGGAGTTTGACCTACATTTTAAAAACATTTACCTTGGCCTTGAGCTGTCAATTGGGGGCATTAGTGTTTCACAAACACTTTTTTTTCTAAAAAGATCTAGATTTAAAAAAAAAATAAACCATAAATTTTAAGGATTTTCCTAGATTGTTCAGGTTTGCCACTGGAAATTGCCAGTGGACCAAATTTTATTGCATTGAATCAGGTTCATCAGATTGATTTTTAAAATAAATTTCCATTGTATTTTAGATCTAGTCAAGATGTCACATTAGCACTTCGAGATCCTTCTGTAGGATACATCAATGTTGATCTCAAACCTCACTCAATACAGACTGTACTGTGGTGGCCATCTTAACTACTTAACGCGTTAAAAGCTTATCTGTGTTAAAAATTATCTGTGATATTTTGAAATGCATGTGCAATAAGACTATTTTGAGTGCAGTTTATAAAAGATTCATTTTATCAACATTATAGATAATATTTTATACAAAATCATTTCATAACATGTAATCAAAAATGTAAAATACAAGTATACAACTATATAGCTTTATAGGAGATACAGACTGCCTACTCTCCCGATTTATCTGTAATTTTTACAATTTTTGACCCCCTAAATACGCTCTACAATTTAAATGCGAAATCTCCTAATATCTGGATTTTGACTGTTCTTGTTTTCAATGGAGCAGTACAGATGCTTGAGTGATAGAAAATTGTGATACCATTTTCAAGCATCTACTGTAAATGTATTACATTTGGCTATGTATTCTATTTAGCACCTTTTGTGGAAAGCACCTTCTGCTAAATCAAGTACATTGGTAAATGCCTGTAAAGTGTAAATATATTCATATAAAGCACATTCAGAAAGCGCTAAATCAAATCTAAGCTAACTTGCTGAAAAATCAATTTCCGTCAAATATCGTACACGTCAAATAAAATACATTTACAGTATATTACAGTGAGTATCTGCCCAAATAGACATGCACAAACACCAGTACTGAGATGGGCATATGGGATAGTTATGGAAATAAATTTGCACCTCAACTTTTTGTGTAGTTGTCCAATGTGACATGATGTCTGAGTATCATATTTTGGTGTGTCATCTGAGAGTACACCGATTATAATTTAATTTAATTTAATTTATGTAATTTCATTCAAATTTTCTGCATAGAACGTAGAAAGTAGAAAATCTTCTGCATCAAACTCAAATCTTATGCACAAATTATTAGAAAATTATGGATAACATTGGTTTTTGGTAGGCATGTCTGGAGTTATTAAAATATTTTGTACAGCACCATTTCATAAAATTTTATCAAAATATGAAACATACAAATATAGTACTTTATACAAGTTAATAAAATAATGTATAAATATTTTGTTTTCATTTGATATCTTAAAAGAAAGTGAATGCAATATATGGTGCTAATGAGGTTTACATACATGTAGCTGCAGAACTGTCACTTGGCAGAAAAAAAATTCAGGTATACATACCAGAGAGGTATGTCCAAATTTTCTTTCCCAGAGAGTTTTAGTTCTTCACCAAGCGGTTTACAGACCACAAAAGAACTTTTTATTGAGATAAAAGTTTTAACAGTGCATATTGCACCTCTGATCATTCATTAATGTCCAAGTGACAAGAATTTTGATGGATGCAACAAAGTTTTGTGAATACCTGTTGCTTGCAAGTTTAACTTTTCATTTAAGTCATAATGAAAAAATTGAAATCATCAGTTCTCTTTAAAAAATCATGTCCTAAGGTCATATGCACTCTTCCCTGTTAAGTATGAGCTTAAAAAATTGTGTTGTACAAGTGTCACAGTTGTAATTAAATTAATATTATTATTAAATATATGCTTTGCGAAATATTTAGTATCGTATTGTGATTGGCGCGCATAGCCAATCAAATACAACCAGTTTTGCAGGTATGTGAGAGCCATGTGCAAATGTTTTGTTTTGTACAGGTGAATTTCTATTTTTAGCATTTCTATACGGACCTACCATGGACCAATGGATTTCACTATACTAATTTTTATGCATGTTTTTACTAACTCGTGCACTATATAAAGCAAGAAACCCGCCAAATTCCCCACCCCAAGCATTTGTGCCTTTACGGTAACAGATCGTATGTTATACCTCACATCGATTCAATCGATGTACATTATTTATTTCGGACTTTAATATTGGATGCCTGTTTTTTTTATGTATCCATAATTAAATTACAAGACCAAACCAGTTTTGTTTTCACTGAAAAAAACAAGACTGTGACCCTGTGACACAAGTATGTGTAAAGATTTTTTTAGTTGAACCTTGTGACCTTGACCTTGTTAGAGGATAAAACAGACCTTCAACCCCAAAGCAAATTGTCAAACCAAAGCTTGTTCAGTTTCTCATTACAGTCTTGGCCCAGACCAGTTCACAACTCTTTCCCCTTAGAGTGACATCTTGCTAAAATGCCTAGCTGCATTTGGTGCCTTATTTATAAAAAAAATAACATTGAACTAAATGTTCAAAACAATTTATTGTTATAAAGGACGGAGACTTGAATGTAAAAACAATAAACATCAAATACAATAATTCTGAAATAAACAACTTCAACAGTAAAACTAGAATAGCTGATCTAAATGTAGAGATATGAGCAAAAATACTTGGAAAAAAATTCACATATCTAAACACTGACATTCTATATCTTAATCATGGTTGTAACTGGAGAAGCATTCAATATTCAAACTACATGTAGATATTACTCTGTTATTAAAATACCACATTCAGGTTTAATCAACTTAAAGCATACTACAGTTAGTATAAGTTCAGTGATCGGTATTTGACAGAGGTAATCAAAAATCCTTAAAAGTATTATCAATGACAATATTACTGTTAAATCTCCACACTACATGGATTTCAAGTTAAATGGTCTGTATGTGTCTGTGAAGAATTTATCACTGTGACAGTTGTGTTTGCCAATATGTCAGTTTATCAAAATAATTTTTCTTTCAGTATAAATACTAAATACATGTATATATTTACCCTGAATAATTTGTGTTCAAATATCAATTACGAATAAAATTCTACCATTAAGTACATGACCAATAATAATTCATACAATATTGATACCTTATCATCATCCTACTTTTGATGGGAAATTAAAGACTGTATACTCAATGTAGTTTTGATTTCTATTTTCTGTAACTTAATTATTCCAATAAGTTTGCGACTCTTATAATGCTGTACACTTATTTTAAAATTTGAGGAAATTTCAGCTGAAACTATGGAAAAACACGAGGATTTTCACCATTTGATATTGTTTCAAAACTTCCAGTAATGTATGCTGATTTTTTGTTTAAGAACGTCTGATGTAACTGTAATTTTAAATATATAATGTCATGAAAAATAATGAATGGATAACCAAGTTTTAAAATACGTTGCATATTCCTCAAGATCTGAAAGTCCTTTCATCTGCAAAATGTAGAAAATTTTACCCTGAATATATCATTCCTAAAAGTAATGAAGTCACAAAACAGATGATCACATTTATCTGAGTTGAGGACCAAAAGATGATAGTAATGTGTTAAATTGTTTCTCTTTAGGTAGAGGCGTTAAGTATTTACACTATAACAAAAATACAACACTTAGTTAACACCTTCCATGTGTCAATGCTAAAAACCTCTAATGAACTTTGTCAATCACGTAGCCAACAAATGTAAAATATGATAAACTTAGTAATCTTCAATGTACTCAGCCCCCCCCCCCCCCCCCCCCCCCAAGAGAGTTTGATCTTTGTGTAACCATTAAATAATAATAATAACAGGATATTTTGTCCAATACCAACACAATAAATAAACTGCAATATCCACTGGAAAATATAAGGTGCTTCACAAGCTTAACAAATACATTGTAATTTAAAATACTAACTTTTCAGAAGCAGTTAATTAAATTATGTGCATGTACATGTTTAACACTTTAATACTGGAAAAACAGAGAAAAGTTTTTTAAAATTAATTCCTGTCCTTAATGCATGCAAATAAAAGTTAAAGCATTAAAAATAAGCTTATTGAAATATGTAATATGTCTTCTTTTCTGCTTCTGTTCAGATTTTACCCACCACTTTTAGAAAGAATACATTTATTTAACCAATGGAAGACAGAACGTTCATATCACCTTATTCAGAGTTAAGTCTTACTGGTCAGTTAATACTCAAAAAATTATTACTAAATGTAGCAATACTACCTTTTGTAAATTATTTTAATTATTGGTTGTCTGTTAAGTCTTACTCATCCACTGATAAATTCTAAATTTAATGCATATATAAAATATTAAGATGCAAATGCAAATCACAGTCACGAATCATGAATTAAGTCCTGCAGTTGTATCTTGATGGTGATTTATAATTAGAGTAAAAGGAATGTACATTTTCTCTAACAAAATGAAACGAAATAATACCTAAAGTAATGTCCCTATGGATTTGAAACAACCCAAGTCAAATATGCAATATTTTTCTACAGAACTTTTTTTTCAATATTGTAGCAGTTGGTTTCTACCTTAATTAAAAACATAAATTGTAATCCTTAAATAATAAGTCATGGTTTGCACTTCATTATATCATAAAAACAAACTAAATAAGCATTATAACTTTGGCCTGCAAAGCTATACAAGTTTAAAAAAAAATTAATGACTCAAATTTCTCTGAAAAAATATTAATTCCCTGAAAATTCACTATAATTCATTTCTCTAAAAGACTGGCAAAGAGAATTTTTTGGGGGGAAATAGAAGCAAATAATATCAACAATAACTATATAAAATAAATATATAAAAAACAATGGAATTCTATACTGTGGGTGGTTTTGGTGTAAAAATAAAACATGCTTGTAACAATGGTTAAGTTAAATGACTAGCTCAACACTAAGATTTCCTTTGGTCGGATTGCTTATCAATAAATAGAGACCCATAGGCCACAACACTCACCCCACTTATTATGTTTTAATTATTTCTACTTAGGAGTAAAAATACCGTTACACAGTATTCAGGATTTAATCTGCATGTCACTTTGACCATTCTAATTCCTATGGATTTTTTTTTCTCCTTTCATTATACTATATGCCTTTTGAATCTCTGAATAATACTGTTGCCTCAATTTTTGTCAAGATAACAATGATTTACTGTAAGCAATTTTTTCATCCAAAGTACTTGTGAATATTTCCTTTTAAGTAGACATATTGTACTATATTGCTCACAACAACATGAATTTTCCTAATCTTATTTGCATTTACCTCCAGACAATCTACTTTGATTATATGTTCTTTCGAACACACCAAATTTTTCTTCATTAACACATGAATTTGGTTGGAAGTGGTTCAATTTGTAATGAAGAAGAAATCCATAAACAGGTATGCAACTAACAGAGGACAAACAAAATCTTAATCAGAAAAACTGATTGAATCTTCAGCTGAGATGAGCCAAAAGTTGGACCCTTTATCCTCATTCATGCAAATTAATCATGACTACATATTTGTCATGGATCATTAAAAAAAACAAAAAAATGTATTTTGTCAACATTCCCCATAATTATTAACTTAAATAATTTTAGCCTCAGAGTGAGTTGTACATATAAGATTTATGATATATCAAATTGCATGATCATGTTTCAAAAAATAAATGGTTCAGTTATTGCAATAGGAACAATACTAAAACAAAATAATCTCTAATGACAAAAATTAAAGTCTCTCAAAATACTGTACACAAAATTTAAAATAGGTAACTAAAGATGAAAACAGTATGTGTCATGGTGTATGGAGCAATGCTCATTTATAACAAGTTGATAATGAATAACTGATGAAAACAATTTAAAGAATTATTCATTCTTCAAGAAATGAAAAAATCTTATAAGGAAATATAAATTGGTTTTGTCAGAGCTATTCTGATTCCGACAATGGTTTGTCATGCCTGTATTAAAATGCTATTTGTATTTCAATAAATCAAGGCTTTGTTACATATTTGCAAGTAAATAAAATTTATCACAAGAAAATGTTAAAATTTTCAAAACTTCAACATAAAATTGCTATTTTTCTGCCCTTCCTTTGAAATCACATAAACATTATAAAACATCACATATTTCATAATGATAATTCACAGATTTCTGTTTGCAGAATACAAACATTAAATAAATATGCACACAATTCAAATTGTTGAAAACCTTTTGTCGAATTTTTCACATTTGCAAAATATTTGCTCTTTTGGCCTCAAATTCTAGGTATAGATTTAAACCAGTCCAATTCAACAAAGTTATACAAAAAAAAAAAAAAAAAAAAAAAAAAAAAAAAAAAGAGAGAGATCCTTTAAACTTCCACTGGGCAAATGATAATATTCAGGGCCAGCAGGACACTTAGTACCTCAAACACTACATATAGGATCAGCATGGATAAACCAAGGATCTTGTTCATTCTCCATTTACTGGCAGCTATTGAGATGATGACGGTGATTAACATGACGAAAAGGAGAACAATGGAACACACCATTCCCGTACTGTCCACATTGATTGGCTCTTGGAAGGCTGCCGCATAGAGTAACCAAGGAATTGGGAGGCTGTAAAATTATATAAAGCCATTAAAAAATTTCAATTTTAAATTTTGAATTTAAAAATTTCTTCTTTTCCTTTTAATGCTAATGATTTTTCCAAAAGAAATCTAATTTACAATTAAAGCATACCTTGTGGGATGAAAAGTAACAGAAATGACCAGTAATCTTGACAATTTTATTAAAGAATAATAAACCCTGTGAGAGTTACCTCTCTTTTCAGAGGATCAGTGAACCTTTAGATTTGGACTATAAGATGACTTAAATAGGAGCTTTAGTCACAAACTTTTATCTATGATATATGAGATAATATTACCCCACTGTGATGTCAAAGATATTGCTTCCAACAGAACTTGAGACAGCCATGTCTCCAAAGCCTTTCTTGGCCACAATCACACTTGTAATTAAGTCTGGGATACTAGTTCCTGCTGCAAGGATTGTAAGCCCCATCACCTGAAAAAAAAAGTTATCATCAATTTCGATCTTGGTTCTTAGCACATGATATCTTCGTGTACTACCATATATAATATACCCAGAATATCTTACATAAAAAATCTGATTATCTAAGAAAGAGCATGATCCAATTACCAGAATATCAAGTGTAAAGGAGCATTTTCTTAGTATACTAGTATGTTTATTTACCACATCACTTAATCCAATTGTCTTTCCCACAGTGTTGGTCCACCAATTCATCAGATAGGAGAAGATGGCAATCCACACAATGCTCCCGAAAAAAGTACACCAATACCATTTCTTCTTTTCCTAAACATTGATAATTCATAATTTACAGTGAATAATGGTCAAATATTACAAAGAATTTCAAACACTTTCAAAAGGTTGACAAAATAATATTAAGTTGATAACAAGTGATTATTCCTTTTTTGTGTGACTTAAAAGAAACCATTTTTCCATTTTTAAAATGAAAGCTGTCTTAAATTAATTTAATCCCTGATATAATGTGACAGGATTTTGAAGAAGTAAACTAAATATGCAAGCTTGATTAGCATATCAAGGCTACCTCATTAAAAGCATCTTTGAAATGTACTGCTTTCGGATCCCAAGCGTAATTAAAGGGATTGGTATAAGATCCTTACATTTAAAGGATTGACAGAATCATTGAGTCAATTTTGGGGTTTTATAAGGTCAATAACTTATAAATATTGATTAATGAATAATCAAAAACATTACGATGTGATGAGGTATTTTTTGATACATGCTGCTGACTGCTGTATAACAAATAGGATGATAAAGTCACATCGATATCCGAGGACAATTAACCAGAACAGAAAATTACAACATAACATTACTTATGTGCACTTAAGCTAAAAATCAATCGATTGCTGAATCTGTATATCTGTTCTGTCACTGGTGGTCAGTTGACACTGGACAAACTCACTTATCGCTATGTATTGATCAGGCATCTGTTACAATTCTGAGCCAATAAAATCCAATTACATCAGCTATTACCAGACATAATTTCAAATCAGTGACCTGTGTTCATACAATAGCGATACTACAATCTACATGATTTCTCTATGGTTTTGTTACTGTAGATTCATCTGTTTTATCTAATCTAACCTTTAATGTTGTCTAATCTAACAAGAATTGAGATTCCATAATGTAAAAATTTGTAGCTGTAATACCTCTCTCCGAACATCTGGCAGTGTAATCCAGAGGGGGAACACTAGAGGGGCCAGGAGGATATAAGATATCCTACTCCTCCAGCCCTTTGGCCAGCTTAAATCTAAAGGTTCCTCCTCTTCTTCCAGTGTCTGAAATTAAAACAAGCAAATTCAGAAAATTGTGATCTCCTGCTTTTAGGGTTTTATTTTTTTTTGCAAAAGCAGCAGAAAATTAGAGAGAACAGATCAAGCATGTCTGACCGAGTTTTATTCATAAGGCTTGACCAATAGAAAAAACTTTTCATTTCCACGGGTCACATAAAAAATATTCTGGTTTAATCTCAGCAGTTGATTTTTTGGTACATAATTCTCATTTTGGTTTATATATACCAGTATAATTAATGATATCTTTCAGGTAAATTCTCCATTTGCATTTAGGAAAGGTAAAAATATCCTGAAAATTTGTCAAAATTTCTCATTTTATGAAGAAATTTATTGTAATTTATTTGTTATTATAAATATAAATTTGAATGTGATATTCCTAATGAATCTAAACTTCACTTTCTCAATCCCTTTGGAGAAATACCAGTAAAACATATTTACCTAAAGTCTGTACATCAATCCATTTTTCAATCTTTTTTTCTAATTACTGCTTAATGCATTGTGAACATATATTCTTATTGTTATGAACTAACATTTTTTTTTATCCAAATACACTCTACACCTTTCCTTTCTGAGTTCCGTAAATTCACAAAGCATGCAATATGCAAAAAAAAAAAAACAAAGAAAAACATGGAAAATCTCTCTGTTGAAAAATGAAGAAACTACTCTTAAACGAAGGAAAGTTGATCTACAGTAATTCAATCAGTATAACCCCCACAGCTCCTTACTTGTATATCTGCCGTAGCTCTGTCCTCTGAGCCTGAGGCCGTGTCTGAGCTTTGTTTAGCGACGCCATCGACGGTCAGCAGAACCCCGTCTTCAGCCCGATTGTTCTGATCTATGGCTCGGCCATTTGCCACTGGCTGACCCGGGTCCTTGCCATTGGCCTGTATGGTGTTATTGTCCTTGTCTACGTGGACACCATTTGGGTCATCTGTGTGGGTCGTTCCTATGATGACCTTTAATGTTGCTATGGCATGTAGGTGCATTGCCTTGTTATGAGGTTTACCTGAAAGTATGTAAGTTTATTACAATACATACTGTTATACTGATAAATAGCAGTACAGACTTTTGTGGATTGTCTGGTAATTCAAGTACAGACTATTACTGTACAATCACATACTGTAGAAACACAAATTTTTGTGGGGATAAAATTTCGTTGATTCGTCATCTAAAAAGGTTTCATGGGCATAAAATTTTCCCTGTTTCAAAAGTAACCCTATTCAATATATAGTCATATGAAAATTTTGTGTAGGATTTATTTTCGGTGATAATTGTTAACAACGAAATAAACAAAATTCAAACCCCCATGAATATTTCTGCTTTTACAGTATTTTCATGGGGTCAAATTTTCGTGGTTTGAGGAAAATGTATTGGTTTTGGGGATTTGATTTCATGGATGAAGAAGTGCTTATCTGTTATTTATTTGAAATTTTACATTTCATGGAGGACATGAATTCGTAGGTCTCTTCAAACCATAAAAACAACGAAAATTAAACCCCCACGATAATGAGTGATTTAACAGTATATGATTGAAACAAATACCAACAGGAGCTTGGCTCCAAATGCACTAACTAACAATTATGCTTAATTGTTGACGATGAAGATTGTTCTAATTTCTGAGTCACTAATTTATGCATTTTTACAGTCTTTGTTCATTTATGTTTATCACAAAATAAGTTGGATTATCAAAAACTTACTTTTAGCCTAAAATAGTAATTTTAAAGAATATACTGGTGTAAAAATCTATCACACTAATGCAACAGATTAAAACATAATTTCCAATACTGCTTACATGTCTGAAAAAAAAAACATGTTGAAAATACTCACCTTGTAAAAAATTATGTTGAAAATACTTATCTTGTACAAAAAATTAACAAAAAGGCTTTGTAAAAATTCACTAATTATAAAAACTTAGTTGCTAATAAACAAAAATGTTCTGTGTATAAACTAATCACACAGTCTACAGGTAACCAAATTTATTAATGGACTTGAGGGCTGAGAATGTAACTATGTTGATGTTGACCAGATAGGTGTCAGCCCTTTATCAGGTTTCTCGATTTACTAAGGTGACATTCATTTTTGTCTGTCATTGTCCAAAAACTTTTGAACATTTTCTGCTTTACTTTCTTGATTAATACATATATTCTGAACCAGCTCCAATCAATCTTAGTGTCTAATGTGTGGAAAAAGGACAAAAAAAGATATCCCAATATATTATGGCAACATCAACAAACAAATATATTCTAAGTCCTCAGGCTCCTTAGAAGTGAAGGTAGAATTGTTATCTTTTTATTTGTTTTTATTTGCATTGTATCACTGATATTGTTGCGTGAAAAATCATCCTTTTCAAAATGGGCTCCATCCCCGCAGTCACAGTCAATATTCATAACTTCAGAGTATGATTGAGCAGATTTCTATAACAACAGTGTATTCCACACGATGTCATAGATTTTTCTTCCAGTTCTTATGGTATCATTATCCTGGCTTTAGAACTAACTAAATCAACATTAATGAACAATCAATAATTCTCCTATATATTAATTTATTCTTACTGTCTTTATGCATTGGATCTATATGATGAATTATAAGCTCCAATATTCCTGGCCGGAAGTGGTTTCCTCCGGAATGTAAGATTGGCACACTTAAAACTCGTTCTGGTTTCTGAAATATATATATGATACTGTGATTACAAATGTAAACAACACTGTGATTACAAATATACATGATACTGTAATTACATATATGCACGATACTATAATTACATATATACACGATATTGTTATAACATATATACACGATACTGTGATTACAAATTTACACGATATACTGTGATTACAAATACAGTGTATACATGATACTGTGATTACAAATATACATGATACTGTATAAGTAAATATATTTTGAAAATGATTAAAATTAATGATATTGAAATGAATCTATTTAATTTTGGATGATACCAACACAAATTTTGCTCTATCAAAGTCTTATAAGAAGAAAGTGTAATTTTGAAACTAAAACCATTGTAATATGAAACTTAATACACTAGGATATAAAGATGGCAATTAATTCACATCATGAAAACAACATAGCCATCATAAACCACAGGATATAGACTATCACTGAAATGATAACTGCATACAAAGAAAATGAATCCAATGGAAAAAAAAAATGCAATTTTATCCACCTGTAGGAAGAAAAGGCAAATAAGTAATTGTTATAATTATCAAGGACAATTTTATTGACAGGAAATAAACATGAATGCGTGAGCCTATTGCAATCAATCTAATGTCTACTAATCTAAACACTGTATAGAAATGGAATTAGACAATCCTGTGGCTTTACTATAGCCCTCCGTAAAACATACCTGATATTTCAAACCGAAAATTTCATTGAATCATGCTCATGCAAGGACATATATATATAGACTATTTTATTTGTATAGATTTATTTCATATGATATGTGTAAAATGCATAAGTAAAATTATGTTCTAGCTAACATGATATTTGATGTGAAAATGTAATAACCATGTAATCTGTAATTTTACACTCCACAAATGTACATAAACCACAATAAACAGTACAAATACCAAGTTTACAAAAACAAAGAAAAATGTAGAACAAGATATTCTCCATCAATGCAGCAAGAGAATCACGTTTAACACATTGAATTAACTTTTCTTATAAAAATGCAATATGTTATTAGTTATATAAATGTATAAAGACTATATACAGTTTTTTTTCCATCAGTCACACAATAGCAGTATAAAATCAAAGAAGTTCATGTTGTAGTGCTATATGAAATTTGATTCACTCCACATAATGGCCTTATGTCCATTTTTATGAAGCTAAGAGAGGCTCCTTAACAAGACAGATACAAAATCAAGTTCCAATTTAACAACTCACATTGGTCAATCATCATTTAGTCATCACTATGGTTTCAAGTAAAAATACCTATCTTATACAAATATATATATATATATATATATATATATATATATATATATATATATATATATATACACACACAGTAAAACTCGTTTAATACGAACACGGATATAGCGAATTCACGGATAGAGCGAAGTTTTTTGAATCCCCAGCGAAATTCTTAACAAATCCTTAGAAAATATTACGGTTATAATGAACTGCGATATAAGGAATTTATGGATATAGCAAACTGATTTTCTGTCCCGTAGTGGTTAAAAACAACAAAAATTACATCTTTTAAAATGAATTCTCAATATCTTAAACTTAAAAATATTAAACTGACATAAATTTTTTTAATTAATATTTCGATTTAAAATTCCATTCCTTCGAAATTTATATTTAATACCCAAAGGAAAATTTTGTACTTAATACCTCCCATAAACGAAGGATATGATGTATATTGCGAATTCGTTATAAATGCTTTAACATATTTGTTATATGGATAAAACGAATTATGGATATAAAGAAGTTATAAATACACAGTTCCCCAGGACTTCGCTATAACCGAGTTTTACTGTGTATATATATATATATATATATACAATTAATTAATTAATTGTTCGATAAAATCAAAAGGATTGGAAACAAGTTCTAAAATAACTTACTAGTTCCTCTCTTTAGAGGATTATTAATTAATATATGTAAGGGATGGCAATCAAATACACAATTGCTAATTGCCAAAATGTTCCAACTGATTAATTGGCTAGTCATATCAAACTAATTTAATTTGATAGATAACTGCAAAATAGACACAGTGATGATATGACAATTCACAGTGCTCAATGAGGATTTATAATTGATATTTTTAAAGAATTACAGGACACTCGGGGTAAGGACATTAGTGTTTTAACCATAATTAACACGTCATAAACTGACCAATTACCCCACAATTTTCATCCGGAGAGCTATAATTTCCTCCAAATCAGCTTAGATAGGTAAGTGAAAACAGTAAATTATCAACATTCATGCAGAGATTTTTTTTTTAACAAGAGGCCCATGGGCCACAAAGCTCACCTGAGTAACGTTGGCCATGTTGTTTTTCACCTTATTCCCCCCTTGTAGTACTTATTATGGCCCCACCCTACCCCCAGGGGTCATTATTTGAACAATTTAGAACCTACACTACCCCAGGATGCTTCCACTTAAGTTTCAGCTTTTCTGGCACAGTGGTTCTTGAGAAGATTTTTAAAGATTTTTTCTACATATTTCAATGTAAAACCTGGATTCCCTATTGTGGACCCTCTCTACCCCAGGGGTCATGATTTTAACAATTTAGAATCTACACTAAATGTACCCCAGGATGCTTCTACATAAGTTTCAGTTTTCTAGCCCAGTGGTTCTTGAGAAGAAGATTTTTTAATGACCCCACCCTATTTTTGTCTTTTCTTGATTATCTCCCCTTGGAAGGGGGCTTGGTCCTTCATTTTAACAATTTAAACTCCACTTCACCCAAGGATGCTTTGTACCAAGTTTGGTTAAAATTAGCTAAGTGGTTGTTGAGAAGAAGTTGAAAATGTGAAAGGTTAAAGATGGATGGACGGACGGACAATGGGTGATCAGAAAAGCTCACTTGAGCTTTCAGCTCAGGTGAGCTAAAAATGAATTTTAAGAAAATTGCATTCCCATCTATAAATACATTTTATTTTTTGACCAGTATATGTATACATTGTATATATATATATATAGAGAGAGAGAGAGAGAGAGAGAGAGAGAGCATCCCCTGTTGACCAGTCCCAGTAAATGGAAAAATCTGTAGACAATTCAATGTGAAAATAATGGCCTAGCAATTTATGTGAAGAAGTCATATACAGTACAACTTGTTTAATACGAACACACATTAAGCGAAATTACAGATAATTATTGGCCATGTTTTTTTTTATCCCCAGCTAAATTCTTAACAATTCTTTGTAAAATTTTTGGGTAGTAAAAAATTTAGATGTAACAAATTTACAGATATAATGAACTGGCGACCATTTCACTAACAGGTTGTAGCTTGTAAACGTAGACCTAAACTTGAACTCGTTGTGTACAGATAAGAGCATACAGTCTAAAGAAAATAGCAAGTAAGGCAATTCTTCTTTGAGAAGTTGATGAAGCAGAGAAAAAATCGAAATAATACATAAATTAATATGAATAATTTATTTCTGAAAAATACTTTGACAAACCTGCATTGAAAATGCTTTTAAAAAGGATCGGCAATAGTTAAAAAAAAAATAAACATACTGGATTTCATTATTATTAGTTTTTGAACAGAAATGTGATGCGAGGACCATCAATAGACTCGGAAGTAAACTTTGTTTTCAAATGTTTGTTACACCAGTGTGTCATAAATTTGCAATATTAACTTGAAGTAAAATGGAACATTATACACCATCATAAACTATACTTGTTAATTATACGACGTAAAATGCAAAAAAGAATTTAGATAATTGAAACGTATAATTTGATCCCAGTTATAAAGGAACTTATAAGAAAATATTACCTTGGGGACTATAGTATAAATTTACTTTTTTTTAATTTTTAGTGAACTATTTTCCATTGCTATATTGTCCTTTTATTTCTTTTTGAAGACTAAGAAAAATGATGAAACATTTTTTTTTTAACTTCATAATGATATTTCTTTTATTCTCTCTTTCTCCAAATTTGAGGTGTATTTGGAGAGATAGTGAGAGAGAAGAAGAGTTTCAAAAAGTTAGTCGTAACTTGCTAATCGTTTTGTAAAATGCTCATATACTTTCTTGTTAGATAATCGTAAACATAATCGTACATTTACGATTTGTTAGAGAAACGTTAGCCTGATTTTGTGTTCCATTGAGGTTAAAAAATGATGTAATTTCCATCTTTTATAGTGAATTCTTAGGATCTAAAAATTTAAAAAATTTAAACTGACATTATTTTTCGTAAGTATTGAAATGAAATTCATTTCATCTGTAAACTTACGTACCTTAAAATGTAATTTTTCTTGGTTGTATTTTTAAATACTTCCCTAAACATATTTGGTAGTCATACTTAGTGGAAAACATATTTATTGTGAATTCCCTATATATATTATCATGATTATAATAAATTATATGGATATAGCGAATTAAGGATACAGCGAAGCAATTTCATGGGTCCCCAGGACTTCACTATAACGGGTTTTACTGCATTATATTTAAGAAATACTAGGTATCATTTTTAAACATCAATACGGGTTGGTCACATGATCAAAGTCCATGCAGGTCTTTCATACTTTGATCAAAGACCAAACAGTAAATTTGATCACATACCAACTCGAATTTATATCCTGATAGATGTTTTAAAATGATACCTTATAACTTATATTTACATTTGAGACTTCTTTATAATATATATTTGCCTGAGGAAAATCTTTAATGCATGAAATGTTTTATTTCTCAAAACTCAATGGCACAAGTCAAACTTTCGCCTGAGTTCTGTGTGTGGAGAGGCAGAGGACTACAGGTAGTTTGCGGCACAAATTTGATCCATTGAATGCACGTCAAACCTTTATGATGTCACTGAGAAACTGTGTGGAATATCTATGATGTGAGGAACCTGTGTTTATAAATACAGATATAGATGCGTGCTGTTTAAATAGTGTTATATAAAAGAAAACATTTGCAAATATATATATATCCATTAAGATGATGAAATCAACCAAGGACACAGGAAGCATGACATTCCCTATGAATTACAATACCCAAAGTCAATACCGATTATCATAATATTTAATCGTCCTTTCTATTGTAATCAAGAAAAAAGAATTTCAAATCAATAAGATCCTTTGCTTAAAGAAATCCTACAAAGAGTGATAAGGCAGTTGATTAAATAAAAGCTATAAAACACTAGATGAAAGGTGTATCAACACAGAAAAGTGATTAAGATTTTTTCCTATGCAACTTGCCGATAAAAGGATTATGACAACTATTGTGTAAAGCGAGGAAAAAAATCCAATTTTTCTCAATCTTTCAGAAAAATACCTTCCAGAATATGAAAGTGATGAAAAAAGGAAGTATTAGTAATATGGAGTATCTTAGTTAATATTTGGGATTTAATCATGCTAATCTCTAGACTTTAGCTAGATCATATACTTCAAGCCAATATATTTTCAGCCCTATTTTATAGTCATTTTCAGAAAACACAATTATTCACAATTCACTCATAGTCTGAATTGTATTATTTAATTATATGTGTGTTTCATTATCAATATCTTAAAAAATAACATCACTGAACACACCCTATAGAGTCATATAGCTGCTTTTCACCGGGCCTATAAATTTACAATGAAGTGTCAATAATTTAATACTAGTAGAGCATTGATAGAGCATTTTATAATTCCCTGATACACAGTAAAATGTAATCAAATTAAATGAAAAGGACACCAATGCCACTCTTCAGTTTAAGCTTACATTAAAAGTTTAATGAACAGAGAACAGGTATGGATTTTTTTTTCCTAGTGGAAGCTTGGGTTTGATAAAGTTTGAAATTAGAGATCAATATGATGTATTTAGGAGTGAGCCCAAAAAAATCAATGCCAAAACAGACATAGCAGAAACTCCACTAAAAACAAAACTAATGTAACCATACATACATACATAGAAACCATTATGACAATTTAAACCATTTACAATTAAACCCCACTCATATTTTCCAAAAACGACCAACAGCCAAAGGTCTCTGAGGCAAAAATAGGATTCTTCGGGCAACAGTCAGCTGTTCATCGGCCATTGTCTTGCCCGATTTTGACCTCTTTTTTAGTTGGCCGACCGATTTTGTGTATTTCAGCCATGTTATAATTTTTTCTGCGTCAGTGGCCGATTCCTTCAATAGAAGCAGTCATTGAATAGTCTGTTAACCAACCTTCAATCATCGTCCGACCATCAGCAGACAGTTACAGCCAAAGTTAACATTTTTGAAAAGTACAGGTCAATCTTTTATCTTAAGGTCATGAGGCCAAAAAAATGATAGTACTTGCACAAAGTTGTCAAGAATGTACAAGTAAAATATGAAAGCCCTAGCTATCTTCTCTTATTCAAAAGTTATTTCTAATATTGAAATTAATTGAAAAGTAGGTTAATATTTAACTTCAAGGTCAAGGTCATGCCTACACATTCTCTTTCTCTGTTACAATTAAAACCAATACATGCTTAGCCTGTTGTTTAAACTCTAATTTATGATTGTGTAGCGGGTATTCCCGGCAATGATGGAAAACACACTTGTAGCTTTTTAAATTTTACATTTTATTATGGTGACATGTCTAGTTGATGATAAATGGATAATGGAAAATGGACTAATGGAATATATGGAATAATGGAAAATGGATATGTCCTGCAATATACAAATTGCGTCATAAAAATATGTACAAACAATATATCAATTATCTAATATTCTGATCATAAAAATATAACAAATTATCTGTCTTCCCTTTAACAATTATTTATCATATTTATCAATTTCACTCGATATGATAAAATAGAGAAATTCTATATAAGGGAGTTAACTCTTACAACATAATTACTCTTAACAGTCTTGTGAAGAGTTATCTTTCTTTTATGTTTCTGTACAAATCATAAAAAATATATATACAGATAGACATACCAATTTATGGAATTGAACTTTCTCCAAAGCAATAATTTAATTCTTTACTTATGGTGTTACCTATGTACAATAAATAAAATAATCAGGATTTGTTCTTTACAAATACCTTTCTCATAATCAATAGATATTCAAATTAGTTTGACTATCAAAATATTCACATCAAAATATTTCTAGGTATATATACAAATTAATTAATGAGAAAACTCCATCAGATTTATCTACATCTGATTATACAGACAGATAATTCAATATGTTAACATTTAAAAGTGAAATATTATGTTTTCCACCTATTTCACATAAATTATGGAAAACATATCTTAAGGCATAAAAAGATAAAAACTTACATTTTCAGGAACTGTCTTAGGTCTTTGAATAAAGTAAGTTAGCAGCAATATAACTATGTCTTCTCCATTCTAAATCTTGAGCTAATTCTGAATAAAACTCAGTACCCCACAAAGACTAAACTTTCAACCAATGAAATCTAACCATTTCAAAATCTGACCAATAGATGTGTGTGTGGTCATGTAAAAGTATATGTACAGGTGTGGATCCAAAAGGGGTGTATAACTATGTCACTAAATACCCATGTTAGTAAAGAATGAACAGAATGAAACTTTAATAGAAAACTTATCATTTATGCATTTATAACATATTTAATAGTTTATTTAATTTATTTAATTTATATCTAATATTTATTTTATTTCATTTAAAATCATTTCAACTTTTATAATTCTTAATAAAAGTACCTCTACTACAATTGCACTGATTAGTCATAGAAAATAGGACCAAGGATTAAACAAAACACTAGTTTGCATTTGTATCATCCAAAATTAAACATTATCATTAAATATATACTCATAATATGAAAATTTCATTCGATATGTTTTAACAATTAGACATATTTACAGTTAAGTTTACTCACCTCAACCATTTGACTAGAACTTCCCACTTTGGTTTTCGTCTTGGGCAACTTGGATTTTACCCATCTCTCTATCCTATGGTTAAATTTCATAAAAACAACATAACAAATGTATAGAAAAAACAAAACCAGTGCCTCGTACCAGTAAATTTTTTTGTCAGTAATAAAAAATACTATTAACAACAGCAGGTCAATGCTGTAAAATGTCACATCTCTGAATAAGGGCCACCATGTTAGAGCAAGAACGTCCTTGCTGACCAAAGCACACATTCCGATGACGAATAAAATATTAAATACAGCAGATCCCACAATAGTCCCTACCCCCACATTACTTTTTGCTAAAAACACTCCGATTAGACTTGTGAAGAACTCGGGGGCACTGCCTCCGGCAGCCATGAAGGTGGCGCCAGCCACATCTTCTGAAATCCCGAATCTCTTGATAATTACTCCTAATGAGGGCACAAAGAATTCATCACAGACAATAGCCAATGCTATAAACATGTAGATCATCCCTAGCACATGTAAAATCACAGCTCCATGCTTTAGCTGCTCTTCCGTGAAGGCATCGTCAGGGTAAAGGGCCTCCTCTGAAGAGCTACTAGTCGTATTAGTGGACAGTAGCCTTCTGTGTCCAGAAATAGAAAGTTCTATCCCTTCCACAAGATAATTATTTGTGTGAGCTATATTAAAGATGGCTTCTCTGTTGAACACCAATAAGCTGCCTAAATAGCAGCTGAGAAGTCCCGACGCTAAAACGCATAGCCGGAGCTTGCGGGTCCGTCTTTTCATAATAATGTCCAAATTCATTTTGTTTCTGTAATGGAATGCTTTCTCTAGAAAATCACATCTTTATTGTTCTTCATCTGAAAAATAAACGTATCATTGTTTAAAAGAAACTTATTTCGATATGCTTTAATTAGGTAATTTAAATGTAGTAGTGTTCATCAAGCTAGTAACTAAACCACTCAAGTAGTACAGTAAAACAAACTTAAAACAAACATGCTTATAATGAATTGATGCTTATAGTGAAGTGGTTTTCATTCCTCCTGGCTTTAAATCATATTCTGAACTCAGCAGATATAACAAACTTCATTATTAACGAAGCAAAATCGTCTATCCCTGGCTCTTCTTTATAGGCACGTTTTACTGTATATAATTAATGTATGTTTACTATTCTTACTTAACCCAATTCCAGCAATCAGGCCCAAGCTTTTCCCTTTATCATCACAATAATATTTCTGCATATTCTCTTGATAAACACATTTTATAAAAAAAAAAATTAATAAGGGATTCACAATTAAAATAAATTAACATTCTTTCCCTAAAGGTACGCAGATTAATGGAATTCAAAATGGGTAAATGATAAACCCTGTGAAGCAATTACTTCAGTCTGCAGGAGTTCCAAGTAAATATTTTTAATTAATGAGAAAAACTGATATAAATAATGCTCAGTCCCTCCTGATTTTACAAAATAAGGTTGATTGATTTAAATTTAATACAGTACAACTTGGATATCTCAAAACTGGTATGAATGATTTCTCCTTACTGGGAAAATTTTTTTTGTCATTAAAATTTTACACAGATAAAACTTTGTAATTCAAAAAAGGCAAAATATACATTCTACCTTTAGTAAAAGCTGTTGAGGTAAGAATTAAGAATTTGAAATAGGAAAATATGTACTACTTTACAACATAGAGATTTTCTGTAATTGTCAGAATTGTTAGACATCGAACTTTAAATTTCTATTGAAATTGAACTGGTGTGTCTAATTAAGCATCTAAGAAGAAGCTGATTAGGTTTAATCAGTTACTGCTAGACAATAGGTTTATTTGAGTGTCTACAGTAAATTGACATTAAACAGCTGTCTGGTGAGAACCTACAATGACATTATGAAAAGTAAACCAACACTCCATTGCCATTACTTTCACCATTTTTGTCATCAATCCCCTAAATTCTATAACTGGAATAGAATTGGAGAGTTCATGTTCATGAAACAAATTTTATTCATGAACATTCATGAATTTTGTGTCTTCCTACAACTTGTTAAAGTTGGCTGTATCTGAAATAAGGTTAACTGGTTCACAGATCATTATTCAAGCTCTTCTATAACTTGCTGTAATTAATCCACAAATCTGTGTAGCAAGGCATTGTGTTTTTGAACATACTTATCTAATTGTTATGTGGATGTTGTATATTTTTTAATAAAATGACATAATGAATAATAGAACAATTATAGGATTAATATATTAAAGGGTACATGTACTTAAAAGATTTATAACTGACAATTACTCCTGTTGTTAGTTAACACATTGGAGTTCTAATAGAAGCATTCATCTTAATTGCTTCTGTTTTTTATAATGAACATTTAAAGGTTGTAAAAGAGTGCATTCATCATATTCAGGCCTCCACTAAAACCGAGTATTGAACAAGACATGCAAATGAAACTCAACATCAATACAAATGCATACTGATACAATCAAGTGACAAAATTAACCAAGAATAACATCTGTTCACACAAGGCACCGACCTTGAAATATAACCTGCAGCAAGTACAAAAGGTGCTAAAATAATGGGAATGGCCTATGGCCTTACAATTCTGATTGGCTGATGGCCTGGTAAGTCTTACAAACTGTTGGCCTATATGTAATTCAGATTGGCCAATGCCCTGGTAAGTTAAGCAGGAAGATGACCTTGTCATTTGAATGGTCTTGTTCTTATTGGCCAATGGCCTGGTAAGTCTAGCAGGCCAATGGCCTGGTGAGTCTTGCTGGCTGATGGCCTTGTCATTCAGATTGGCCAATGCCCTATTAAGTTAAGCAGGAAGATGGCCTTGTTATTTGGATTGGCAGATGACCTTGTCATTCTTATTGGCCAGACCTGGTAAGCCTAGCAGGCCAATGGACTGGTAAGTCTACCAGGCAATGGCCTCATTAAACCAAGCAGGCTGATGACCTTGAGGATATGACGATGATGGTTAGAATATAGTCTAGGCTAAGGTCCTTGCCTATGTGCCTAAATTTCTTGTTAGGGAAAATAACACATGGTCTTGTGTTCAGTAACCTTCAGCATAATATGAGTAGCTCACCTTGATAAAAATCAAGGTGGTGGTTGGGATGCTAATTTTTATGAATGATGGAGGGTGTCTTCATCAGATTCATCAATCATGTGATGTAGAGATGATACTAATATGATTTATACTTTTATGTACCACAATAATTTTTAATTGTGTTAAATCAGTTAAAATCAATTTTGATTTCTTTCTATAGTGATATTTATCATGTTTTCCTCAAGGTCTTGAGGAAAACATGATAAATATCACTAAAGAAAGAAAACAAAATTGAAAAAAAATAATAAAAGGAAATCCAAAAAAATAATTAACAAAAAAAAAGAATTAAAAAATAAAATCAAAAGCTGAAAGTCTTCAAAGGTGACAAACATGAACTGATAAACAAACAATTACCTGCGAAGTGTATTAACACATTAACACACTTGATTTCTTAAAAACGATATACCTCGGTATCATGAACATTTATATTTTGAATACCATGGATATTTTAAAGTGAGTCGAAAGTCCCAACCACTTTTTATATGTGTCGGAACCTCAAATATAATGAAAAAATTTCAGCCTCATGGAGTTCAAGATAATGAGGTTTGACAGTACTAGGAGGAAGTCAAAGGTAACAAATCCAATGCTCTCTAGGTTTCTCTAGAGAAACTAAACACTGTTAAAGAATGAAGAAACATATATCAGTAAAAAGGAAAAACTTTGCTATAGGATTTCTAGAGAATCATAGTTAATTCTGACCAACTCATGAATTCTCTGTCGTACTCAACCAGTATCCTGTATCAAAATATAGTATCCAGGGCTTGGAATACCTGTATGTACTAATGGTACAGCCAATTAACACCTAGAAAGTAGATTACTTACAAAACTGATGTCATTGAAATGTTAATTAATGAACCTCTTTACACAGTTTTTGTACTGCTGAATGGATGAAATATGTCCAAATGAATTCATTATCAGTTTGCTACCTGCTTAAATAGATCACCACACTGAATAATTCACCAATTCCCTAGTCTCTCGACTTAAAGTGTTTCACTTGACAGATGTCAACAAACCTATGTACCCAGGACAATCAGTTCATCAGCTGTCAGTGCTAATTAATTGGACTCACTGTAGCAATATTAGGGTATTTGTGACGCTATGTGAAGTCAATATTGACAAGAAGTCTCTGGGCAACAAGGCAACAGATTATATGGGACATTTTTTTTTTTGTAGGATCCTTGATTAACAGAAGTAATCAAGGGCTAGCTAAGAATAGTTTGTGTATTTACCTTCAATAAAGTCCAAGTGGCAATATTTGTAAGTGTTATTTTATATGCCTGCCTACAATCAATGTCTTTGATACACGGCTATTCCAGTGATTGGCAGCTCTTAGATTTAACCAATACCTCCAATCAACATGCTTCATAGGTATATATATATATATATATATATATATAGATATAGATATAGATATATATATATATATATATATATATATATATATATTATAATAAAAATATGAAAAGAAAACACAAAGTTCTCCGTAAAGCTTTAGCATTTCATTAATCTTTTCAAGATTTACTATGAAAGTGCTGAAGCTTTATGGAGAATTTTTGTGTTTCCTTTTCATATTTTTAAAAAAATATTCTTTTCTGACCACTGAAACTTTATTGCAATTTTGGATATACTGACCATAGAATACACCTCTTACTTTACCAAATGTTTACCATGGTAGGTAAAAAGAGACTATAAGGGTTCACGAAAAAAAAAATCTGCTAAAATAATTGCTTCGGGTAAGGTTTTGGTCAATAATATCCCTACTGAAATAAAAAAAAAAAGATTGTACCCCAAAGATGTGTATGTAATTGAATATTCCCAAATAATATATTGGCATTTTATTCTACATTTTCCATAAAAGTTTTACATAGAAGTCTTTAATTTGTTTTGTCAACGAACTACGACTTCTGAGATGATTTTATTTTTAGCTGCTAACAGCATTTAGCAATATTATCACCTATTGTTCATCAAATTACTTTTACGAGACTACACACTTTGATGGAGTACATGTACGTGCAATCTATCTTGTATAGATTTTACTATGTTAATGAAAACCTTTACAAATTCTAGGTTAATTTGGCCAATATTGTTTCCTTGAACTCAATTAATACTATGGAAACAGAATTTCATTGACATTCAAATAATTTTATGAATATCAGAGGTACTTGTTTGGTTCAGATTTGCATTCATTAAAGGAAAAGATTTCAAGGAAAAAAATTTATTCAATCAGAAATCGAACAGATGAAAAAAGAAAAAAGTCATGTCTTTACATTCATTTTCTTGGAGAGAAAGTTATAATAACAAGTAATTTTCAAATTTTTTTAAGGAAAAAATTTTAAAATTAGTTTCAAAATCATTTTTTCACTTTCTGTGTGATATGTTTAGCAATTCAGACATTTTATTAGAACCAAAACCTTATCTGGCCTGTATCAGTACCAGGATTACAAAATTCTGAAGATATAAAGTTATTTTGTCCTTAGTAGCTTTGACATAAATAAAGAAATTTGGCTATTTTCCACAATGTTAACTAAAAGAATTCAAAATTAGAAGGAACCTGTTTTTAATATATTTGGCTAATATAAATACAAAAGAGAAAATTGACATTTTGAATAGAATAAGTTGAAAAATTGTTGATGGTTTATTTTTTAAAGAAAAAGTTTCGTGACAAATTTCAAAACTTCCCTTTTATATTCATTAAAGACTAAGAATTGGGAAGAGATGGAAGTTGATGCTGATTTTTAAATATGTCACTTACCAGTCATAAATACAAACTCCAAATCACATATAAAATTCCAAAAGAAAAGTTCACCTTTATATAAAACACCATCAAATACCATATGCACTTTCCCTGACTCTAATCAACTTAATTTGCTGACTGAAGCCCAAAAATCAAAGACAATCCATTAAATATGTATGAAGAACATGTACATTGTGTTTAGGTAAGAATTTGAGCTGATTATTCCCCCCAGAACTTCCATTTTAAAAGTAGTTTTGCCACCCTCACCTCTATAAATGTTTCCAGTTGACCATCCACTGCCTCTCTGCTTGTATTGATGTTGGATGCCAACTCTGTCACGTCACAATAATTATGGTTTTCTACCTGCATCAAAAATCAATAGCCACATATATGATTGTACATATCGACAATGGCTTCCTTTAAAGTGGCAGTAAAGCGAGGGATCCACAGTCATAACCGTTAGAGTTGGAGGGTTCAAAACGAAATCTTAAAGAAGGATATCATTTTTAAAAAAAATTATTTTTAACTGTTTTGTGTATTAGTTTATTCCAGATTCTCTGTGCAATTTCTTATCAAGAATTTGAAATACTTTCTTTTCATGTTATAAGTGTATCTGCTGTAAAAATGACTTTATGTGCACATAAGAGTTTTTCTCTCAGAAGATACTATATCCACCACCAATTACTACAACTATCAATAGAATCTTTTGATTTGCATAGTCATTGCTTTTTACTTTGGTGTCAGTATTATGTTTATATTTGATGTTTAAAATGAAATAACTGTTGAACATTGAAGCCAATTAAGGCCTAGGTATATCCATGCTTTTATTCTTTTTATCAAGCAACTCACAGAGAACAGCGATTTCAACATCTCCGTTATTGCCGACATCAATTGATTTTTGGTAAAATTAAAATCCCATGCCAGCAACACAAATATCTGCATCAAAGAAATATTCAAATGCAATTAGAAAGCAGCACATTTCAGTGACATCAAATTATTTTGGTGTTACCATGCCGATAAGAACTTTACTAAATGTATCAAATGCCCTTCCTGCCATAAAAACATCAGCACTAAAAGTGGTACTTTGGGTTTACGTAAATATATTTTCCACATTCAAAAATCTAACATCTTTTTTCAATCATTCTTTTTTTCTTTCAAAATATATTATGGCTGTATGTACATTCAAACCTAATTGTCTCAAACTCGATGGGCAGAGAAATAACTTCAAGATATATCAAGGTTAAAATAAATTCAGAAAAACATGAAAAAGTGGCTGGCACTTTCAATTCACTTCAACATATCCATGCAGGTATTCAAAATATTGATGTTCAAGATAACCAAAGTTCAACTCTATTGTAACAGGCCACTAAAACTAGAAAATGACTGTGGTCAGTCTTGTTGACCCAAAATGCAGACATTGTGAGATATGGGTTTGTTACAGACTGAGGAAAGCTTCCTGTCAGTTTACGGTTTTCTTGCTGCTTTTTATCTTATATACAAAGTAAGCTGTCTCTTAAATTAAATGTACTTTTTTTAATTTCCAACAGTAGATGTCTTTTGAGAGTCTTCTTTCTGGTGTTTTATATAACCTAGTGATCCTTATGTAATCTGTCTAATAAATGAGCCTGTCAAGAATTTAATTATCACACAAAGTATAACTCTTTTTTCCCAAATAATCAATGTTGAATTTGCAAAAATATTCATTGGTTTGGTTCCCCCCTTTCGTAATGATAACAACTGGTTAATTTTAAGATTAATTAAATAAAACTGTTTCCCAGATTTTAGACGGCAAAAAGTATGAAGAGCCCTAATACAGTGGTCAGGTGTTTGTACTCAAGGGGCATTTTGATGATGGTTTTATTGGGTTAATTTGCCTACCTTATTTTTCCTATGAAGTGGTTAATATGAAGCACGTTTGGATGCCGTTGCTTAACTGTTTTCAACATTTTTTACACTTCCTGTAATTGTCATTCAATAGTTTGAACAAATAAATGAATAATTTCTGGAATTTACAGTTATGTACCAAATACCCGTATTTTAGTCTCCGTATCACGATACATATCACGCAAAAAAAAATCGCGATATACCAGTATGCCGATAAAATCACACATCCCTATGAAATACCATATATGCATCATGAAATTTAATGCAATGCCAAGATTGCTGGAAGATTTGATATCTTTATTACAGGACATTAGGTGTATTTGAAGGGGGTCCTCATCTAAGTGGACTGAAAAAGGTCCAAGAGATACATACATGTATAGGGCCAGGGGCACTCAATAGGATGGATACAGTAGTTATGAATGGCATCTTTTTGACTTGATTGGAAAAATGTCTTATGTAAATTTTTTACTGGAATATTTATGTTGTCATACACAATTCCTGGTTTTCTTTTTAATATTTATCCTTTGTGAACGTTTAGTGTCTCCAATCTGGAATATATATAAATGCCTGTGAATTGTGTGTGGGACATAATGACAATAATTACAGATAGAGTATATTGGCAATGTGTGTAATATAACCGTACATTGTACTATATGATGATCTATATCAATATGATTGATTTTGGACCTGCTTTTCGTAGGAAGAAGACTTTAATGATTCTTCCTATATATTTAAATATAAAACTTGAGCCTTAATTATTGTGAATCCATGCATTCCTAGCTCAAGGGGGCATGATTTGTATAAACTTGAATCTATGCTATATAAGAAGTTTTCACATTTGACTTGCCTTATTTGACAATGCGGTTCTTGAGAAGATCATTTTTAAATGACCCTACCAATTCTACTGCATGTCACTACATTTCTTTATTATTCTATCTTAAATAAGAGAGCATGTGGTTCAGAAGAAAATGAAAAGTTTACAGACAAGAAACAGCCATGTTCAGAAAAGGTCTCTGAGTCGGGGTGAGCTAAAACTTCAAATGTTTGACATGCATATATATATATAAAAACAGACCAATCAGTTCAAGGTTTAATGATCTGTATAGTATACCCTTTTCTAAAAAGCTAAAAAGAGATATGACAGATAGCATTTATTTTCAGTTACACTGATGTATGCAAGAACATCTCAGTCATTAAGTAGTGAAGTATTTTCTTAATACATGTAATTTGAATAAATATTAATTCTGTAAAATGTACCTTGAAAATATTAGACTTTTTTTTTTATAGATCTATACAGGGAAAAAATTTAAAGAAAAAAGAAAGTTAAAAAAAATGTATAGAATGCCACTGTGTTTGAGAATTTGTTTAAGACCTATCATGCAAAGGATTCAAAATATTGACCAAACAACATTTGCATAAATTAAATTACATGTATATATATTGGGGCAGAAACCATTTTGTGTTGGAATGGCAGAAAACCAATTTAATTTTAACTTTGTGACCTAAAAATCTATCAGAGGCTCAGAGGCTATCCAGAGACTTAATTGGTACTGCATGGTTAGATAGCACCTGCCTAAATAATGGTCATGCATGCAACCATCTGTCCAACAAGTGCAAAGTCTAATAGAGTCCACTTTTTTTTTAATGGAAAGAATTAAAATGAAGACCTAATAAATTTATAACTGCCAAGAAGGTTTAAGGAATAGGAAGTCAGAGGTACATAATGTTTTACCTAATCATGTCTGCAGTAGTTCTCGCAAATGCCTTGGACAATCTTAATGAAACTTCAAAGTGTAGTTCAGCATGTAACATTCAAAATGGCCACAGTTGCCATGAAAATGGAGAAAAGTCAGTTCAGGGTGACATATGTTAACAAAGTCTCTATAGTTTTATTGCATTTGAATGCTAAATCTTGGCAGAGGGACCTTGAGAAATGCAACCTATAAAGGCGAGAATGCATGAATTTTATTTTTAAATACAAATTTGTACTCTTACAAAATCTTCTAGCAGCTCAAACTGTAGCAGAAAAAGGGTGAATGATCGACTTACCGGTGACTTATATATTAACGGACAGTATAATAGTGTGTTACATGATGTCTCCTGTTTGTTTCAGTTTGTGTAATATTAAGCTTAGATTCTCTATTGTAACATAATTAAGTGCTCCTTACCCCAATAACATAAGAAATGAAGAACCTGAGCTTTTGTAGAGCTATATACAATAATTCCAACTATAATGAAGTAATATTGACTTCTTCAATTGTTTAAAGTATAATTCCTCATTACTTGGGGTATTGACTGATCCACAGAGTTGAAGGAACTGGCCACTATATTCTTGTTTAACATTAAAGCTTAAATTAACTTCAACTAATTTCTATTTTAGAATTTGACAACTACTGAGCAAGTTGGTAACCTGTTGTTCCTATTATTCAGTATCAATAAGTTCAAAGACTATGGCACCTTTTTGTCCTTAAGAATTAATGGGTATTTAATTGTAAAAACACAATCAAAACTTTACACTCATTAATATTTAAGCCTTATACATGAAATTTTGCATGTACCTTTAAATTTTAATCTCCATGACTGGCCATATTTTTAAATGATAAACTTTGTGATAATAGTTTAGTGATAGCCATCTTTACAAAGCTATATTAATATGTTGAAATTCCCTATAACTCTTTAAACGGTAGTTTATTTCAACCACTAAGTTGTCTGATTTATTCACTGAAAACTTACTTCTCATTATATAATACAAGAGATTTACTTTATAATCTTCTAGTATTATTATGAAAAAGCTTACATATTGCTAGTAACAGGTGATCAACATTCATTGATTTTCTCAGAATTTATTAATGTAATATTTAAAAAAAAAATGCATATTCAATATCAGCTAACTTTCTAAGCCTGAAGCCATACCTGCAGATATAAATCAATTTATCTATCTTGTCTGTAATTCAAATCTGAATCAATATTTCTTCGGCTTATTAGTTCCTATGGAGACAACTATGCAATGTCATGTATCTGTATGATGGCCAGAGGAAAAAAAAATTGGCTTCATTACGACAAACAAAACCCATATTGGGTCATTTATGATAGCTTCAAAACAAGAAGCTTTAATTGCCCAAATTAATGCTATCTAGCAGCAGTATATATAGAGAGGCTCATAAGCACTCTGTAAATGAGCTCTTGCTAAAAGTTTAAGGATAACCACTTCTTGAATTTCTACCTTTGCTGAAGACAGAATATCAATTTTTCAATTATGTCAGCAACATTTAACCATTCAAAACACATCATCCCAGGATAAGCTTGGCTGTTTGATAAATCAATATAAAATAGTCATATTTTGTTACCTGAATTTTCACTGAAGATATTATTATCCTTCCTAGAGAAATAAGAATATCCTTTACATGAAAAACACTAGTTCCAAAATCTCTGATGGAACTTAGACCAATTAAGCAATTGTACTTGTCTGGATTAA